CCCAAGAGCACCCCTGGGCAAAATCAAGTGTACCGCAAGTGCTTACTTTGCGTAATGGCTTAGCTGCCCCTGCCCTGATGGAAAAAAGGTTAGGAACCACTGTTTACAAACTACAGGTTTTCCCATCTTACATCCACTTGTTTGTCCCAACCGTCGTAGATGTCAATCAACGCAGATTCAAGGGTCTGTTGTAGTTGGGATCGGCCAATGGATTGAGACCCCTTGTTTTGATGGGGGAGATATGAACTAATTACACAGTTTACTTGCTGTCCAGCCTTCCATTCCGTTGTTGTATTGGTGTCACTTGGCTTCCAAGCAATCTCTAGGATGAATCCAGACCCGGTTGTTATCTTGGAGGAACGGACAAGATAGACTAACAGAAGAGCATCCTCCCAATTCCCCCTCTTTGTTTATTTCCAAGACTCAGTAGAGGCAAGCCCGGAGTCCAGGGCTTCTGCTCCGTTTGGACTGTTTTGCTTTCCCTTCCATATATAGTGCGTCGCTGTGGGCTATTTTTAGCCCCCTTCGGATTGTGTGTGGTGCTTTTTTTCCCCCTTTCCCTTTTTCCGCTTGTCGCTAACTCCGGATCCTTTGTGATAGGAGAGCGGCTCGGAGCCAGCCAGGCACAGGCGCTCAGGTCTTTGGCCATGCCCAGAAATGGACAGGTGGCAGAATGGGGGGGGGGGGAGGCCCTTGGGACCCTTCCGTTAAGGGCCAAGGCTGGAGAAGGAGGGAGAGAAAGGCCCGGGGAGCTTTTGGCAACGGGCCCTAAAGCCCAAGAGGCCAACAAGTGCCTGGTACTTGATCCCAAACATCCAGTCGTAGACTCTCAGACAGTCCTGACTTGGCAGGAACAGTCTAGGAATGGGCTGGATGTGGCCCGTTGGCCTCTTTTCCTTTCTCTTACTATCCTATCCTATCCTTCCTTCTCTCTTTCCTTCTTCCTTCCCTTCCACCCTTTCATCCTTCTTTCCTTCCTCTTTTCCTCTCACCTTCTTTCTCCTTCCTTTCTTCCCCTTTGGCTTTCCTTCCTTTTCTTCCTCCCTTCCCTCTTTCTCCCTTGCTCTATTACATTCCACCCTTTTATCCTTCTTTCCTTCTCTCTTTCCTTCATCCTTCCCTTCCTTCCATCCTTCCCTGCCACCCTTTCATCCTTCCTTACTTCCCTCCCTTTTGTCTTTCCTTCCTTCCTTTCTTCCTCTTCCCTTTCCCCCTTCCTTCCTCTCTTTTTTTCCTTCCCCTTCCTTCCCTTCCACCCTTTCGTCCTCTTTCCTCCTCTTTTCCCTCTCCCCTTTCTCCTCCTTCCTCCCCTTACTTTCCTTCCTTCTCTTTCCTCCCTCTCTTCCCTTTCTCCCTCTCTCCATTCCCTTCCACTCTTTCATCCTTCCTTCCTTCTCTTTCTCCTTCCCTTCTTTCCATTCTTCTCTTCTCCCCTTTCCTCCTTCCTTACTTCCCTCCCTTTTGTCTTTCCTTCCTTCTCTCTTTCCTCACTCCTTACCTGCCTACCTCCCTTCCTTACCTCCCCCTTTCTCTTTCCTTCCTTTCCTTTGTCTTTCCTTTCTTCTCTTTCCTTCCCCCTTCCTTTTTTCTCCCTCTCTTTCATTCCCTTCCACCCTTAAGTCCATCCTTCCTTCTCTCCTTCCTTCCTCCTTCCCTCCCTCCCCTCTCCCTTCCTTACCTCGCTCTTTCTCTTTCCTTCCCTTCTTCCTTCCCTTCCACCCTTTCATCCTTCTCTCCTCCCTTTTCACCCTCTCATCCTCTTTCTCCTTCCTTCCCCTTTCATTTCATAGTATAAATGCACCAAGAGAAGGGTATGGGCCTTGGGAAACTATAATTCCCAGGACAGCACAGCATGAAGCCAAACTAATGTGATGACAAGACTGGCTTCCCAGATTTTAAGTGTAGCACTCAGTGGAATTTAGTAAATGTGATGAAGTGGCTAGAGATGTTACAGGCCTGCTTTAAGACCGAGGCATTCGGAGACTGATCGTCTTCTCTTGAGTCCCTCCGTCAGTGTGGTCATTCTCTTCCATGCATCCCTTCTCACCCCAAATGTCCCCTTCCCCTCTCCATTTCTTTACGTGCTGATGCTGTTCAAGCAGCGTTCGCTGCAGCTTCTATCCCTTCCAGACCTCCTTGGCTTCGTAGTTTCCTCTTGCCTTTTTCTCGTTTGGAGCGAGGGGTTTGCTAAGAGCTGTGAATGAATGGCTGGTGGAGATGAGGGGGGAGGCTTGAGGGACCCCTGCGCACTGTAAATCCTGGCTCTGTGGGGAGAGCGCAGGGGCTGTGGGAGGGGAGCGGGATGTGCCCTGAGAGGAGGAATGTCATGTCAGCCAAAGCTGGAACGAGGCTGCCCCCAGCGTGCCAGAGCCATCCCCGTCGCCTCTTTTGCACTGATATAAAGCGACCTCCAGCCCGTCCTTCTTACTGACCAGCCAAACTGCCTGGTAGGGCTCCTCGGGGTCCCATTTCGCCACCGGCTCAAATCCTTCTTCCTTTCCTTTAAAGTAACATAAAATCAACGGCAAAGTTCGAAGAGGCAGGAGCCCAGAAAAGCAGCTCTGGACACATCCTCCTCTTTTCCTTAAGAGAAGTTGCTTGGGTGGGCAAGGGCCTATACCCCTGTGCCACCCATTTGGTCCATCAGGACCTCTCCCCCTGTGCCACCCATTTCGTCCATCAGTCACCCATTTGGTCCATCAGGACCTCTACCCCTGTGCCACCCATTTGGTCCATAATGACCTCTACCCCTGTGCCACCCATTTGGTCCATCACGACCTCTACCCCTGGGCCACCCATTTGGTCCATCAGGACCTCTACCCCTGTGCCACCCATTTGGTCCATCAGGACCTCTACCCCTGGGCCACCCATTTGGTCCATCAGGACCTCTACCCCTGTGCCACCCATTTGGTCCATCAGGACCTCTATCCCTGTGCCACCCATTTCGTCCATCAGGACCTCTACCCCTGTGCCACCCATTTGGTCCATCAGGACCTCTACCCCTGTGCCACCCATTTGGTCCATCAGGACCTCTACCCCTGTGCCACCCATTTGGTCCATCAGGACCTCTACCCCTGTGCCACCCATTTGGTCCATCAGGACCTCTACCCCTGTGCCACCCATTTGGTCCATCAGGACCTCTACCCCTGTGCCACCCATTTGGTCCATCAGGACCTCTACCCCTGTGCCACCCATTTGGTCCATCAGGACCTCTATCCCTGTGCCACCCATTTGGTCCATCAGGACCTCTACCCCTGTGCCACCCATTTGGTCCATCAGGACCTCTACCCCTGTGCCACCCATTTGATCCATCAGGACCTCTACCCCTGTGCCACCCATTTGGTCCATCAGGACCTCTACCCCTGTGCCACCCATTTGGTCCATCAGGACCTCTACCCCTGTGCCACCCATTTGATCCCTCTGGACTTCTACCCCTGTGCCACCCATTGGATCCATCAGGACCTCTATCCCTGTGCCACCCATTTGGTCCATCAGGACCTCTACCCCTGTGCCACCCGTTTGGTCCATCCGGACCTCTTTGCCACCCATTTGGTCCATCAGTCACGAGGTCCTGATGGACCAAATGGGTGGCAAAGGGGTTAAGGTCCTAATGGACCAAATGGGTGGCACAGGGGTAGAGGTCCTGATGGACCAAATGGGTGACTCATTGACCAAATGGGTGGCACGGGGGTAGAGGTCCTGATGGACCAAATGGATGGCACAGGGGTCGAGGTTCTGATGACCAAACTGGAGGTCACAGCTGACTTCCAGTCTAGATAGAACTAGAAGGGATTCTGTCTCTGTAGCTTGAAGCAGCTCTGTTGACATGCCATCTCTTTCTGGTGATTTGCCTCTTCCTAAATGCTGTGATGCACTTTCTAAAAGGATCATCTTAACGTGGTTCTTACTTGATTGAATCTGCCATCCATTCATCTCCTTCCATGTATTGTTTCAGTCCTCTTTTTATTTCCGCTTGGTCACGTGGAATACTCTCTTGTGCGTCGCGCAGCATCTCCATTCTTGGTTTAAAGTTCCCTTTGATTTCTCACGTCTTGTGAAAGAGGTCTTCTATCCTTTCTTATAAAATTTAGTCAGTCTGACTCTCCTGCATCATTTCTTGATCCCGGGCCAAATTTTTCTACAGATAGAGCCTTCTTTCTGGCTGCTCTGTGTTGTACTTTTCCCATCTTTTCCCCTTCCAGAGGAACCAGGAATTGCGTTCCGCCGTTCTCCCGCTCTCTTCCTTCCTTACCACCTTTGCGCAGGCCTGGAATGCTTGTGATGCCTCTGGCATGTTTGCCATCGGCCTCACTTCCAGTAAAACGACTTCCCCGCCGTATTAGGCCAAGGCAAAAGTGCCGAGACATTTATGAAACTTTGTTTAATGTACTGAAAAGCCATCGGCTAGAACATTTAGGAAATTGATTTTCCTGGCATTGATGAACTCTTTTTTATTCTACCCCAGTATTAATTACTTTTTTTTTTGAAAAAACAAATTAATTTAAGAGTCGTAAAACCGAAGAAGTGAGCCAAGCGTCAATAGATCATGTTTGCTCCTTGTGTGCATGTGTGTGTGTCCCCAAATTCAACTGCTATGCAGGAGGGGAATGGGAGACATTGGAAATTCCATAACCTCTTGGAAATAAGTGTACCATAACCTTATTGAAAAAGTAAAAAAATGGTGTCACATCCGTTTGGTAAATATGAATCTCCATGCACATCTTTGGAAAACCACTAGTTAAGAAAAGCATGACCTTGCTAGAGGTGACTCTTTGAACAAGTGATATTCACGAGCATTTGTGTAATGGCACACAAGTACCTCAGCTGTTAGACTGAAGAACCATGCCTTTAAACTGCCACGGATAAAGACATGCCACTACAAAAATATATTGGGTTAGTAGAGGATGGTTGTTTCTTTGAAGGAGTTAGTGGAAGTTTGGAAGGTTGCTATTTCCTCTTGATGACCCCTATTTTCCCTCTCTTTGTGTTGCGTATTCCAGGGGAGGCCTCGTCTCTGCGGGACTACGCCGCGACCACCATGAACGAGTTCCTGGGCATGTTTGGCTACGACGACCAGAACATGCGGGACGAGCTGGCTCGCAAGATTAGCTTTGATAAGCTGAACGCCACTACCTCAGATGCCACCGCCGCCGTTGCCGCCGTGGCCTCCTCCCTTGCTGGCGAGGACGCCGTGGCCAAGAGAGCCCGTTTCTCCAAGTACGAGGAATACATCCGCAAGTTGAAGGCAGGGGAGCAAGTGCCCTGGCCCATCCATCCAGCCAAGACTGAAGAGCTGACCAGCAAGCTAGGCAAGGAAGCACCCATAGTCTTGAAGCAGCCCATCCGCTTGCCGGCCCCGGACATCTCGCTCTTGCCGGAGACGAAAGCCACCATCTTGCCTCTGCCCTCCCCCAGCAGCTCCCAGATGCAAGGTCTGATGTCGCGGGCATCCAAGTACGACTTCTTCATCCAGAAGCTGAAGACCGGCGAAAGCCTCCGCCCGCAGAATGGCAACACCTACAAGAAGACCTCCAAGTATGACCTGGAGAACGTCAAGTACTTGCACCTCTTCAAGCCAGGCGAAGGCAACCAGGACATGGGAGGAGCCATTGCCTTCAAGACGGGGAAGGTGGGGCGCCCTTCCAAGTACGATGTTCGGAACATCCAAAAGCTCACCCCGGTCAAAGCTCCAGTCCCCAGCTTGGTCCCCACCCCGCTTACCACCACCACCACCCCCAGCAGCACTCCAGTGGCCGGACCTGAACAGCCCGTTGCCCTGTCCTTCAACACTCCAGAATACCTGAAATCCACTTTCTCCAAGACAGACTCCATCACAACTGGAACGGTGTCTACTGTTAAGTAAGTCAGACCACGCTTTTCATATCTCTTCCTTTACGTCAGTGGATCTCAACCTGTGGCTTTCTAGGTGTTTTGGCCTACAACTCCCAGAAATCCCAACCAGTTTTCCAACTGTTAGGATTTCTGGGAGTTGAAGGCCAAAACATCTGGGGACCCACAGGTTGAAAACCACTGATCTAGATGGTCCTTGAAGGCCTCCTAAGGTCACTATATAGTTCTAGATCAGTGGTTCTCAAACTGGGGTCCCCAGGTGTTTTGGCCTACAACTCCCAGAAATCCCAGCCAGTCTACCAGCTGTTAGGATTTCTGGGAGTTGAAGGCCAAAAACATCTGGGGACTCCAAGTTGAGAACCACTGATCTAGATGGTCCCTGAGGGCCTCCTAAGGTCACTATATAGATCTAGATCAGTGGTTCTCAACTGTGGGTCCCCAGGTGTTTTGGCCTACAATTCCCAGAAATCCCAACCAGTTTACCAACTGTTAAGATTTCTGGGAGTTTAAGGCCAAAACATCTGGGGACCCGCAGGTTGAGAACCACTGATTCAGATGATCATTCCTTGAGCATGGATGCCACTATAAACTAAGCTTCTAGTGACCACAGCATGGCTCTCTTCATCTTATCCCCTGTTGGATGGAGTCTGGAATCATGGTTGGACAGAGGTCTTCAGAGACCCAAGAAACTTGAGTTGCATTTGCTGGACAACAGGTTTCTCAGCTTCCATAGCTTTGTCCGAAGTATCTACTCATGAATCCATTAAAATAGATTCTCAACTTGTGGGTTCCCAGGCGTTTTGGCCTACAACTCCCAGAAATCCCAGCTGTTAGGATTTGTGGGAGTTGAAAGCCAAAACATCTAGGGATCCATAGATTGAAAACCACTGATCCAGACAATCAATCCTTGAGCATGGATGCCACCATAAACGAAGCTTCTAGTGGCCACTGCATGGTTCTTTTCTTCATCTTATCCCCTGTTGGATGGGGACTGAAATCATGGTTGGACAGCGGTCTTCAGAGATCCAAGTAATTGAGTTGGTTCTTGTCAGCTTCTACCAGCTTTATCCGAGACATCTACTCATGAATCCATTAGAACATTGCTAAAGCTAGGAACATAGAAGGGGTTGAATGATGGGGAGGGAGAGGAAGAGAAGCTTGCTTGGTTTGAGGAAGCCTTCATAGACTCAACAGGCAGAAAAATAAGGGCCTAGTTGGTCTATGAAGGCAAGTTTCTCTTCCTCCTCATCATTCAACACCTTCTATATTCGCAGGTTCATCAATGTTCTAATGGATTTATGAGTGGATGTGTTGGACAAGCTGGTGGAAGCTGACAAAGCCATTGTCCAGCATGATGCAACTCGGTTTATTGGGTCTCCGAAGACCTCTGTCCAACCATTTCCTCTGTCCAACTCAGTTTCTTGGGTCTCTGAAGACCTCTGTCCAACCATTTTTCTGTCCAACTCAGTTTCTTGGGTCTCTGAAGACCTCTATCCAACTCAGTTTCTTGGGTCTCTGAAGACCTCTGTCCAACTCAGTTTCTTGGGTCTCTGAAGACCTCTGTCTAACTCAGTTTCTTGGGTCTCTTAAGACCTCTGTCCAACCATGATTTCAGATCCCATCCAACAGGAGATAAGATGAAGAGAGCCATGCTGTGGCCACTAGAAGTTTAGTTTATGGTGGCATCCATGCTCAAGGAATGATCGTCTGGATCTGTGGTTCTCAACCTTTGGGTCTCCAGATGTTTTGGCCTTCAACTCTCAGAAATCCTCACTGCTGGTAAACTGGCTCGGATTTCTGGGAGATGTCGGCCAAAACATCTAGGGATCCACAGGCTGAGAAGCACTACTTTAGGTGGACAATGGGATGGAGAAAGAGGGTAGCAAAAGCAGTGTTGGAGGTGTAAGACATGCTTCTGCCCTCCTCTGGGCCTCTGCTCTCCTTCTGGAATTAACATCCCAGTTAATGGCTGAAGCCAGCTGTCACTCACATGTTTGGAATATCTAGAACCCTGGTGGGTTTCTTCACCCTCTCCTGATGTAAGTATATTAACATCTGTTCCAGAAATCCAAAGCCCTCGTTCTGTCTGGGGCAAGTCCTTTGCAAGGACGAGGGCTCAGAATGGAGACTCAAAGTGGTCTCCAGAGTTCTAATCCAACACTCGAGCCACTACTCCACGTTCTGATGTAAAGAACCCTTCCTTCCAGTTGTATTCTTCATAGCTACTCACCAAAGAGAGCTTGCTTCTACCCTCCTCTGTCTGTGTTGAATTTTCTACCCGTGTTCATGGCAGTATGTGAACCTCCCTGTTTCTTGGTCGAGATGGTCCCTTTTTTGTTGTTCCCATTGCCTTGCAAATCAGAGCAAGCATATGTGAAGGACAGGCAGATGTGCAGTTGCCCACATGTTTGGCACCCTCTCAATCACAGCCCTCCTTCGGCTTCCTTCCTGCCGTTCAGTTCCTTCGTTCTCTCGCACTCTCTCTTTCCACCGCGGTTGGGGATGAACCTCAAGTGCACTCTTGGCTCTGCCCACAAGACTTCCTTCAGACGGTGGAGGCGGGAGGGGTCTACAGCCCTGGCTTTGGTGTGGCTGAGCTTCTGTGTCATTTCCTATGCGCTGTGTATCAGCGCAAGAGCTAAGGATGCTTTACCCTGAGCAGCCAGTGGTTGATAGGATGACTAGTAGCAGAACCTTGACCTTCCACCTGTCAGGCATGTGCTGGTGAGTTCATGGTCTTCCCTAGCAGACTTTCCACAGGGCCTTGTAGAATGGGGATGCAACAGCATCCCTCAATTGAATCTTGTTTGGCTTCGATCCATCCTACAAGGGTTGAATGTAAAGTAATGCCTCCATCTTCGTAACTCCTCAACAGATGGCAGTACTGGTATGTGGCAGGTACTGGCTTGTTCAGTAGACTCTCCTCTACAGTTCCATTTTGGTGGGCATTGAACGGTTGTGTTGTTAAAGTGCGAAGTATGGAAGTGTCTTACCTATTTATCTACTCACATTGCTGTTTTTGAACTGCTAGGTAAGCAAAAGCTAGGGCTGATGGCGGGAGCTCACCCCAACCCACAGCTTGAACTGCCAACCTTCTGCATCCTGCTGGTCCCATGTGAACCGGTCCTTCCTCTCCACCCTTGAGCAAATAGGATGCTGTAATTTGTGGGAGAGGGGGAAGTCCCCCTAGTAAAGAAGGAAGAGCTCCGCTGCATGCCGTGGTCCTTGGAGGTGGATGGAGAGAGGCGGAGAGGGGGCTTGGAGCGTGTCCTGACACTGCCTTGCGCTAACCATCTCTGCCCTGTGTGTGTTTCTCATTAGGAACGGATTAACCACTGACAAACCAGCTGTCACCGAAGATGTAAATATTTACCAGAAATATATTGCCAGGTAGGCCGACTTCCCTGCCCTCCCCTGGGGTTTTTGGGAAGGGGGTGAAGGGTGCCACGGGACAGAATCATACAGGGGGAGGGAGGTGGGGGTCTCTGTCTGTCTGTCTGGGCGAAATGTAAACAAACAGTCCTGGGAACTGTGTCTTTCCATTTCTCTCTGACATCCACACTGACTTCCCCACCACCGCTGTCACCTCCACCTTCACCCTTCCTGCTCAAACCCAACCCCATTCTTGAGGAAGCCTCCACCCAGCTCTTCCAACATCTTGAGAGTAGGAAAGGAATATTATAAATGGGGTGTGGAGGGAGCCAGGATGCCTGGAGATGCCAGGCGACCTGTGGGTTTGAAGGACCCTTCAGATGTTTGGGTCTCCCACTCCCAACTTGTCCAAGGGCTAGGAATTCTGTGATAACAGAACACCTAGCAGTGGTTCCCAACCTTTTTTTTTTTTTTACCAGGGACCACTTTGACCAGGGACCACTTGATCAGAGACCACTGACAAGGGACCACTTGACCAGGGGCCACTTTGACCAGGGATAACTTTGACCAGGGACCACTTGGTCCAGGGACCACTTTGACAGGGGACCACTTGACCAGGGACCACTTTTGACCAGGGACCACTTTTGACCAAGGATCACTTTGACCAGGGACCAGTTTGACCAGGGACCACTTGGTCCAGGGATCACTTGACCAGGGACCATTTTGACCAGGGACCACTTAGACCAGGGAACACTAGACCAGGGACCACTTGGACCAGGGACCACTTGGGCCAGGGACCACTAGACCAGGGACCACTTGGACCAGGAACCACTTGACCAGAAACCACTTCGACTAGGGACCATTTTGACCAGTGATGACTTGACCAGGGACCACTATGACCAGGGACCACTCTCCAACATTAGTACCAAAAGGGGTCAAAATCAGATTTTGGCCAACTTTAGTTTCGGTTTGGCTGGTTGAGATGCTGATGCAGAAAATTGCATTGGATAGACCACATCAGCTCTAGCTTCTGATACAGAACATATGCCACTTAGTAGGTACCATCTGCTTGCCCACAGAATACCATATTTCATGGGTAGTCAGCCTCTCCCCTTCCGACATCTTCATTGCCTCGGCACTATAAGACGATTTCATGAGACCAGTCGCTCTCGTTGGTGCGTGGTTTTGATGCAACAGTGTAGTAATAGTGAGGCTGCAGATCATATTTTCGTTCTTGTATACCACTAGTGGTCCATGGACCACAGACTAGAAACCACAGTGTTAGCTCAGACCCTTAGTTACAATCTCTGAGCCAGTATACAGTTGAGAGAGAATTTGAGTCCGGCCTTTCCTTGGCCAAATTCAGAGTAATGGTGAGGCCGCGAACCATATTTTCGTTCTCACAGACCACTGGTGATTGTCATCTTCCAGGGCATCACGAAGCGGAATGGAGCTGTAATCTAGGAATCCATTCATGTGTCACAAAAAGTAACTTTTCCAAGTTGTGACTCTCCTAGGCAGCATTTAATTTACATGTGTGTGTGTGTGTGTTTTTAGGGGGGGGGGGACCCATACTCTTTCAGAGCCTTAAATTAAAGGGAGGGGACAGAGATGGATTGTGTCGGCCGAGCACAATTATCCTAATGGGTTTGTTAAGAGCCACTGCCAAGAGTTGGCCAAGAGCGATCCATTCTGTCTAGCGGAGAATCCGGGATTCTGACTTTGCTCGTTTGTGGTGTTTTATTAACCGTATATTCACGCTGCTTTTTTCCTGGGAAGCCGCCATTATTATTATTATTATTATTATTATTATTATTATTATTATTATTATTGTTCTAGCAGATTCTGCAAATCTTCCCTAAATATTTATTTACATGCGTTCCCTCCCTTCCTCCCTCCCATCACTTGTAATTGGGGCGTTTAGTTTGTGGAGTGTTGTCTAATGAGTGTAATGAGTGTGTAAACACTCTCTAAGCATGCTGACTCTTCTGTATTTATTATTTTTATTAGTATTTATTTATCTGGGTCTGTCTCGGCAGTCGCAGCCGCACCAGATGTGGCAAATCGAGGATATGAAACAGAGCGTGCGCCTTGTTGGTCGTCTTGTGCATGCACCAGATACCACAAGCATTTCGAGTGTGTATATGTTTAGGTTTTAAATTCTATCATATTGGTTTTATTGTGAGCCACTTTTAGTGTTTTAGAAGGGAAAAGCAGGATAATAATAATAATCTAATAATAATAATTTATATTTATATTTATTATTATTATTATCTATATAAATAAAAATGTCATGTTCGTTTGTGGGACTCACATAACTCAAAAACCACTGGATGAATTGATACCAAATTTGGACACAATACACCTATCAGGCCAACGAGTGACCATCACTCATAAAAACACTGAAAAACAGTGAAAGAGACTTAAAAAGCCAAAAAACAAAAAATACAACGCATGCACAAAACCACATATAATATATATGTAAACACACATATACACAAATATATATACACACATTTACTCACACAAAACATATATACACATATGGCAGGGGACAGTTAGTCAATCATCATCATCATCATCCTCTACAAAGTCCAGCATATATATCTCGTTTGCTGTGACATACTGTGTTTTTGTATCAGTAAAATAATAATCTATATCCTAAGGTCACTATATAGATCTAGATGGTCTTTGACAGCCTCCTAAGGTCACTATATAGACCTAGATGGTCCTTGAGGGCCTCCTAAGGTCACTGTATAGATCTAGGTGGTCATTGAGGGCCTCCTAAGGTCACTATATTGATCTGGATAGTCTTTGAGGGCCTCTTAAGGTCACTATATAGATCTAGATGGTCATTAAGGGCCTCCTAGGGTCGCTATACAGATTTAGATGGTCATTGAGGGCCTCCTAAGGTCACTATATAGATTTAGATGGTCATTGAGGGCCTCCTAAGGTCACTATATAGCTCTAGATGGTCTTTGAGGGCCTCCTAAAGTCACTATATAGATCTGGATGGTCTTTGAGGGCCTCCTAAGGTCACTATATAGATCTGGATGGTCTTTGAGGGCCTCCTAAGGTCACTATATAGATATGGATGGTCTTTGAGGGCCTCTTAAGGTCACCAAATAGATCTAGATGGTCCTTGACAACCTTCTAAGATCACTATATAGATCTAGATCAGTGGTTCTCAATCTGTGGGTCCTCAAGTGTTTTGGCCTACAGCTCCCAGAAATCCCAGCCAGGTTACCAGCGGTTAGGGTTATGGGAGTTGAAGACCAAAACATCTGGGGACCCACAGATTGAGAACCACTGTTGGACAGAGGAAATGCTGTGAAGTCAATCTATGGTCTCAATAGACATTAGACAGCTGATGTTGAAAATATGGATGTGAGGTCCACAAGTGGCTTTTGAGAACCCTCTTTGATATTATTTAGTATACTGCATGCCTATCCAGGAAGAGGCCTTGGCTCAACAGCTTTCCAGCATGTCGAGCACAGTCCATTCTACACATGACGACTCTCATTACCAAGTGATTGAGAAGCCATAGAAGCAAGTTTAACAGTGTGCTCATTTGTTAGTGTATTCCTCCGCGTACTAGGATTTGTCAGTTATGCCTCCATGCTCTTGGGATGACAACCCACCCACTTTTGCCACGTTTGTGTTTGCAAAGCAACAAATGCCGCCTACTGAATCTCAACAGCCTTGTTCTGTCAATGCCAAATTGTTCTGGTGCTTGTGAGTCGCCTTTCTAGGTGCCTAGAAAGGTAGTTTGCATCCACGTAAACAAGAAAGGCATGGGCAAGAAAGGAGTGTGTATGTGTGTATTTGTGTGAGAGGAGCAGGTGTGCCCGCCCGCCTGCCCGTGTCAGCAAGTGTGCGGTGTGGGTAAGGTTTGCTGTTTTGAGAAGCTAAACAGATGCTGCCCTTTAAAAATTAATAAGTTTGAACTGTTTCAAGTGTCAGGAAAAGCAGAGCAGAGAGACAGGACTCTTAAAAACCTATTAACGGGGGCCGTGGGGTGGAGGGGGTTCCATTACCCTTTTCCTCCCAGACCTTGTACACATACATGCATACATACATACATGTTCCCTCACTTATCGCGGGGATTACGTTCCAGAAGCACCCGCAATAAGTGAAAATGCGCGAAGTAGGGATGCTATATTAATTGTAATATTTATACATTATTTATATATTAAATATTACATTAATTGTAATATTTATACATTATTTATATTTATGTAATATTTATATATTATTAATACATTAAGGAATGAGCAAAACAAAAGTGACAGGACGTGGGGGCTTCACACCAGCATCTCTTTCTGAGGTCCGTTGTAATGTAAATATTTGAAATTTATTTTTTTGAAAATCCACAAAACTGCGAGCCCACGTAAAGCAAACCGCAAAGTAGCGAGGGAACACTGTACACACACACATACCAGGTAATTCGTTATTACTGCTCCTATTAAATCAGTGGTTCCCAACCTGTGGAAAGTGGACCACCAGTAGTTCGCAAGAATGAAAATATGGTCCACAGCCTCACCATTACTACACTGTTGCCTCGAAACCATGCGGCAACGAGAGCAACCAGTCACCAAGGCGATGGGGATGTCGGGAGGGGAGAGGCTGACTTCCCACGCAAGATTACTACCACCACATCAGCTCTAGATTATTAAATATGATTTTCTGTGAGCGAGGAGATGGCGACTATTGGATGACATATGTTCTGTATCCGAAACTAGAGCTGATGTGGTCTATCCATTGCAATTTCCTGAATCGGCTGATGAGGTCTATCCAATTCAATTTTCTGAATCAGCTGATGTGGTCTATCCAATGCAATTTTCTGAATTGGCTGATGTGGTCTATCCAATGCAATTTTCTGAATCTGCTGATGTGGTCTATCCAATTCAATTTTCTGAATCAGCTGATGTGGTCTATCCGCATCCCTAACTACCTCGAGTTGCCTGCAGGCTGAGAGGGACAGTATATAAATATAATAAATAATAGTAAGTAATAGTAAATAATAATAATAATAATAATAATAATAATAAAGAGTAAATAATTAATAATAAATAATGCAATGCAATTTTCAGTATCAGTTGATGTGGTCTTTCCAGTGCAGCTTTTGGAATCAGCACCCCAAGTAACCAAACCAAATCCAAAGTTGACCAAAAACTGATTCGTAACCCTTCTGGTACTAATGTTAGGGAGTGGTCCCTAGTCAAAAAAGGTTTGGGAACCACTGATCTACCTCTTCCTCCTCCATATCACAAAAACAGGACAATAAAGCAAACTTCAGGCTGAGGCTTTGGTGTCCAGTTTTCCAAACATCTTCATTCCTTGCTTAGACATCAGATTTCCTGGTTTCTAGATAGATGGTCGGCTCTTTCACCCGTTGGGTTCTTCCCTTGATCCTCCTCCTCCCACTCCTCCTCCACTTTCTCGGTCACCTGCTCTGCCCTAGTCTTGATTTCCTGCCGCGCTTCCTTCCCTTCTTCCTTCCCCCCTGGGAGAGGCGCACGCCTTCGTGTGACATCTGTCCCCTTCTCTCTTCTGCAAATGCTGAACGAAAGAAAGAAGGGATTTAATTTTTTAGCAAGGTCTGTCTCATCTGTCAATGACTCCCTCCCACCACACACTTGACATTATTTCCCTCCTTCCTCAACCGGTTCACAAATGCCTTCTTCCATGCTGCCAGTTCCCTGACTTTGGAGACATTTTTGCTCTTAATCTCCCGTTTAGTGCCCCTCTCCCTTTTCTATACCCCTTCCATGAGCCCAGGCTTGGGTTTCCCCCAAAATTCATGTCTCCGTTCGGGCGCCCGGTCCCAGGGGCCTCTCCGCAGGCATGTCGTGATGCCTGGCATTTGGAACCTCGGAGCAGATGGCGATTTAGCTCTGAATGTTTTCTCCTTCGAGTCCCCTTTGAAATGTCTCCCATCGCGGCGAAATTGCTCCACAATATGCTCCACGCAATTCATTCTTTCTGCAAACTCTGCTGTATGTCACTTGCATGTTCTTCAGATTCCTGGCTCTTCAAGAGGCAACTGGTTAGACCGCAGCCATCAATCAGGCGCATAATCTCCAACTTAGAATTGGCAGGGATGGGGTTCTGTGTGCTTTGGGGGCAAAAAATTACCTTAAAATTGTGCCATTTTTAAAGGATTTTGGGGTTTTAGAGATCACAGAAACATAGTCTAGGAGCCACAGTTAAATAAAAGTACAGTAGAGTCTCATTTATCCGACATAAACGGGCTAGCAGAACGTCGGATAATGTCGGATAATTCATAGTCTCCTACTGTTACCCGTCAGACACAACGCTAGACAGCTAGAATACTCAGAACAGGGATTCAATGAGTTAAGGCAAGGCAACACCCCGGGACCAGAGAGGCCCAGATTTATTTATTTATTTATTTATTTATTTGGGGTTCTTATACCCCGCCCTTCTCACCCCGAAGGGGACTCAGGGCGGCTTACAAGAGCAAGGCACGATTTAATGCCTGCATCATAAACAATCATACACAAATTTACATAAAATTACAACAATTCACAGATGACATGCATGCAATATAACCATAAAATCAATCAGATGGAAGAGGAGCATGGAAATCACCGAGGGAAAGAGGGAAGACACTTCTAGCCATCCTCCCTCTAGGCCAGTGGTTCTCAACCTGGGGTCCCCAGATGTTTTTGACCTACAACTCCCAGAAATCCAAGCCAGTTTACCAGCTGTTGGGACTTCTGGGAGTTGAAGGCAAAAAACATCTGGGGACCCCAGGTTGAGAACCACTGCTCTAGGCAAAGACTTAAGTCTGACCTGGAGGTATTTCTATCCAGGTTTTGGGTTCCAGGTACAGTAGAGTCTCGCTTATCTGACATAAACGGGCCGGTAGAATGTCGGATAAACGAAAACGTCAGATAATATGGAGTCTCCTACTGTTACCTGTCCGACATGGCGCTAGACTCCTGGAATACTAACAACAGGCACTCAAAGAGTTAAGGCAAGGCAACGCCCCGGGGCTAGAGAGGCCCAGACGGAAGAGAAGCATGGAAAGAGGGAAGACACTTCCGCTTCTGGTCCCGCCTCTTTTCCTCCTTTCCTCTTTTCTCCACCTCCTTGTCTTGCCTTTTTCACTTATTGGGAGTAGAGAGAGAGTTGGGAAGCGCTCCTTTAATTGAAGGGGAAATGCTGGAGGAAAAGGAGCATCAGATAAGATGGAATGTCGGCTAAGTGAGACTCCCCTGTACTTATTTACTTAGGTGATCCCTTGTTGTCTGAGTATGATGGCCTTCCAAGTGTCTTGGCAGTGGATACATCGATGACTGTGGAGTCCTATTCTTGAGCCATGTGTTCTTCCAGTTTTTAGATACTTTTACTATAGATCAAAGTATCTAAAGACCGGTTGTGAGGGGAGAGAAAGTCCGCCTACCATTCTATGCTCAGGAAAGTTTCTGATATCTCCTTGTACTTAATCGGAAAAATAATTTAGTGAAGACGGGTTGGACTCAATGACCTCTAAAGGCATTCCAGCCCAAACAAAGCCCTGCTGAATGAGACCCATGTTGACATGCATCTGATCTCTAGAGATCCTTCTTTCTCACTTCATGGATTGTCCATCCTCTGGAGGATTCAGGGTCTGCCTAGGCCAGATTCAGAGGGTGACCCTGCCTTGAAATGTTCAAACATAGAACCCAAACAGCAGATGGGGATGGGCAAAACGACCCTTGTATCAAAAAGACGATTCCATTCATGATTTTCTCTCTTTGTTTCCTTCTTCCTTGCAGGTTTTCTGGAAGCCAGCACTGCGGACACATGCACTGTGCGTACCAATACCGCGAACATTACCACTGCCTTGACCCGGAGTGTAATTATCAGGTAAGAACCGAGCCAATGGGGGGGCACCACAATGTCCTGACCAGCATGGCTAGGGGATTCTAGGGGTTGTCGTTGAAAAGTATAGATAGGCAAACTCTTCCCTCTTCCTTTTATTGCAGCAACTTGGGTTATTGTCAATGGTTCAAGCTTCAGTGCACATTTCCCCTCCCATTGAAATTCTCATGAGCTAGAAAAGAGCTGGAGCTGGCCAAGATTGGTCTAGAGCAGTGGTTCTCAACCTGTGCATCCCTAGGTGTTTTGACCCACAACTCCCAGAAATCCCAGCCACTTTACCATCTGGGAGTTGAAAGCCAAAACATCTGGAGACCCACAGGTTGAGAACCACTGGTCTGGATGGTCTTTGAGGGCCTCCTAAAGACACTATATAGATCTAGATGGTCTTTGATGGCTCCTAAGGTCACTATATAGATCTAGATGGTCTTTGAGGGCCTCCTAAGGTCACTATATAGATCTAGATGGTCATTGAGAGCCTCCTAAGGTCACTATATAGATCTAGATGGTCATTGAGGGCCTCCTAAGGTCACTATATAGATCTAGATGGTCGCTGAGGGCCTCCTAAGGTCACTATATAGATCTAGATGGTCATTGAGGGCCTCCTAAGGTCACTATATAGATCTAGATGGTCACTGAGGGCCTCCTACGGTCACTATATAGATCTAGATGGTCATTGAGGGCCTCCTAAGGTCACTTGGGCCCTGCAATTGAGGAGGTGGCAGAGGTGTCACGGGGCCCAAGCAGTGGCAAGAGGGAGGCCCAGGCGGCGACAAGGAGGAGGAGGAGGAAGGTAAAAAGGGCAAGGAGGGAAGAAGAGTCACCCCCTCACTCTACCTTCCCCTTCCTCGTCGCCGCTGGGGCCTATTTCCGCTGCTTGGGCCCCRCGATTGAGGGGCCCAAGCAGCGGCAAGAGGCCCAGGCGGTGATGAGGAGGAGGGAGAGGAAGATAAAGAGGGTGAGGAGGGAAGAAGAGTCGCCCTCTTTACCTTCCTCTTCCTCATTGTTACTGGGGCCTCTTGCTGCTGCTTGGGCCCCGCGATTCAGGAGGCAGTGGAGGCAGCGCGGACCCCAAACGGCGRCAAGAGGTCCAGGCGGCAATGACAAGGAGGAGGAGGAAGGTAAAGAGGGCGAGGGGGCGGCTCTTCTTCCCTCCATGCTACAGTGTTCCCTTGCTACTTAAATTTATATTTTTTTTAAAAAAAGGAATGCGAAATAGCAAGTCCACAGTAAGTTAACCGCGAAGTAGCGAGGGAACACTGTATGGATCCAGAAGCTTAAAACCTGTTTTGAGATCCTGGATTGTTGCTGTCAGTCAGCCAGCGGAGAGCCATTTGGACAGTCAGCATAAGGCTGCTTGCCATGTTCACACATGCAATGTTAGTAGAGCTGTCACATCACTTTGCACAAGAGTCAGCGTTGCTACTTTTTAAGACAGCCCTTCACTGGTGACGCCAGCCACAGACTGAAATGGGATCACGATGCCTTGAGAACGCAGTCTGAGGAACAGAGACCCTTTAGGATTTGTGCTTCAGCAAGAGAGGGCCAGTCTTAGGACTCGTCCCTTCACACAAGCATCGCAAGTGGCTGCAAATGACTTTTCAGACATTCTGCATGCGACAATTCCCAGCCTGTGGCCAGCTGCTTGGGGTGGTTGKCTTTGATGCTGTATGGATCCTGTTGCAAGCATTTGCAGCCTTCTCCCTCATCGGATGGCCCTTAGATGTCTGTCTTCAGCCAATGCTGGGGGGGGGGGGGGTGTCAAGCAATTCCTTTAATTTGCTTGCGGTCTCCGTCTGTGCGAGGGACCTTCCTTAAGCCCTATTGGGGAATCTGAGCTGCCGGGCTCAAAAATAACCCTCTGTCGGGGTGATTCCACCATAACTATAGCAAAGCAGCCAAAGTAAATTTCATAACCAGCAGAAACTTACACGTGATGAGCTAGGATAAGATTCTATTCCTTAGGATGACACAGGATTACAGAGTCAGAACTGTAGGTTCAGAAATATTTATTGACATAAAAGAAATACATTCTTGATAGAACGAGTAAAAACTCAAAAAAAATCCATGCAGCTACATTTTGCCTAAAAAGAGGCAAAGTGTGCATCCTTGTAGGTCGAACGAAAAGCGTGAAAGAGTGAAAAATGGTAGAGACAGCATGGTCAATCCTAGAGCCGATAGTTGGGTTGGAACATACTCCTGTTTCGCGGTTTTTTTACTACCACCACCACCACCATTGAGTGAGTGAGCCAGAGAGGGGGAAGAGGGAGGGGGCAGTCCCTATTTCACGGATTTTCACTTATTGTGTGTAGTCCTGAAATGTAACACCTGCATTAAGTGAGGAAACACAGTGTTTTTATTGCCATGGGCTAGCCATGTGGCCATTCGCCACCATTGTCTCTTCTGCCTTTCCTTCTTTCCAGTGAGGTAGCACATTTTGCCTCTCTCTAGGCAAAATGTAGCTGCGTGGATTTTTTAAAAACTTTTTACCTTTCTTAGACGATGAGATTTAGTCAGCTAGTCAGCTCCAAGACCTTTTCTATCAAGAATGTATTTCTTTTACTTCAATAAATGTTTTTGAACTGAAAGTTCTGACTCTGCAATCCCCTTCCCCCTAAGAAGAGAAGCTTCTGCACCAGTGTGTGCAGAGACTGCCTTCACCAGCCTCAATCCAAATCTGCTTCCGGTGAGGACACAGAACGTAACCAGCCGATTTGGCTTTCAAAGCATGCATGTGGGCCTCCCCTTTAGGCAGCGGCATAGTCAGCCAGGAGGGGTGCTGATGCTAATCGGCGGCAGCGTAGCCAGCCAAAGGACGGTTCAGCCGCTGCCAAAACAGAACACCCAGGGTGCTGAGCCACAGCTGCTCGGGGCTCTCTCACAGTTTGGTTTAGCGACAGCACGGCTGGTGGCGAAGGAGGAGGAAGATGTCGAGGGAAGAGCAAAGGCTTGGAGGCCTGCCAGAGCGGGATTGTCAGGCCAGCTCCCCGGTCGCATGCGGTATTTATTTACCCTGCGCTCAGGCCTGGGAGTGTGACTCAAACCACGCGCTTTCTGTGGTTAGGGCCTCTGAGAATTGAGGGCTTTGCTGGGATTCCTGCCGCGACGGAGTCTGCTTTCTGCATTGGCCCGGCCAGGCGCGGAGGAGACCACAGCAGAGGAAGCAGGCTGCGTTGTGCCAAAGCTGCTGGGTTTCGATCGATGGGAGCAGGGATGTGGGCAGTGACCATCCTCTGCTAGAAAAGGAGGGCCTGCCTGAGAGCACAGCCCGCGATGGCACAGGAGGAAAAGGAGGGAACGCTCGGATGGTGGTCCCAAGGAGCTGGGATCGGAAGTGCCGGGAACGCCTGGTCCCAGAGGGACAGAAAGCGCGAGGCTGGTTTTTGCAAATGCAAATTACCCTGCCGGCAAGATATATTTGTTATAATGAACGGCATTCAGTAATAAGTGGCCGCAAATTAGCAGTGATTGGCAACGGAATTCCTGTGATATAACACCTCGGGGAAATCAGGCCTTGGGTCGTCTTTGGCATTACTGCGCAAATCCTCAAGTTTCATAAAAGGAGGAGAAATGAATCAGGATTCCTTTGAAGGAAAGAAGAAGGAAGGAGAGGAGGAAGGAAGGAGGGAAGGAAGGAAGGAGAGAAAGAAGGAGGAATGAGAGAAGGAAGGGAGGGAGGAGAGAAAGAAGGAGAGGAAGGTTGAATGGGAGAAGGAAGGAAGGAAGGAAGGAAGGAAGGAAGGAAGGAAGGAGAGAAGGAGGAAGGAGAGAAGGGAGGGAGGGAGGAGAGAAAGGATAGGAAAGTGGAATGAGAGAAGGAAGGAAGGAGGGTAGGAAGGAGGAAGGAGAGAAGGGAGGGAGGAAGCAAGGAAGGAACGAAAGAGAAGGAAGGAAGGAAGGAGAGAAAAAAGGAGTGAAAAAGGAGAGGAGGGTAGGAAGGAGGAGTGAGAGAAGGAGGGAAGGAGAGAGAAGGGAGGGAGGGAGAAGAGAAAGAAGGATAGGAAGGTGGAATGAGAGAAGGAAGGAGAGAAGGAAGGAAGGAGAGAAGGAGGGTAGGAAGGGGGAGTTAGAAAAGGAAGGAGAGAGAGAAGGAAGGAAGGAGAGGAGAGAAAGAAGGAGAGAAGGAGGATATGAAGGAGGAGTGAGAGAAGGAAGGAAGGAGAGAGAAGGAAGGAGGGAGGGAGGAGAGAAAGAAGGATAGGAAGGTGGAATGAGAAGGAAGGAGAGAAGGAAGGAAGGAGGGAAGGAGGGTAGGAAAGAGGAATCGGAGAAGGGAGGGAGGAAAGAGAAGGGAGGGAGGGAAAAGCAAGGAAGGAGAGGAGGAAGGAAGGAAGGAGGGAGGGAGGAAATGAGAAAAGGAAGGAAGAAGAGAAGGAAGGAAGGAGAGAGGGAAAGAAAGAAAGGAGGGAGGAGAGAAGAAAGAAAGCAGAGAAGGAAGGAAGAAGGAGAAAAGGAAGGAAGGAAGATAACTAGATAAGTTGGGAGAGGGAACCAACATTTCCCAGGGCTCCCTTTTTCTGGACATTCATGAGTTCCAACCCATGTAAGAGAGTACCTTCAGCCACCAGAGTCTGGCCAAGTTGATCTCCTCTCTTGGGACCTGGGGCTCAGTTATCCAAATTTTTCTAGGCGAGACCAATTCCACCCGTCAGTGCTTGCGTTTCCTTGCCATGTCAGGAATTTCAGAGTTGATCCTCCCATTGCCAGAATGCTGAGTTTGCTCTAAAGCCTTTGCCTTGCCAGCCCACATTCAACCTGCTTGTGTGTGGTCACAGAGAACACCCAGAGGAGCACGGAGACCCCTGGAAACCCCCTTACGGGTGACTTGAAAGCAGGCCTTGTGTAGGGGAGCTTCTTTCCCCTCGCTTTCCCTTGTCCTGGCCCTCCTCACCTTCTGCCTCTCCCTCTCCCCACCAGAGATTCACAAGTAAGCAAGATGTGATCCGGCATTACAACATGCACAAGAAGCGGGACAATTCCCTTCAGCATGGCTTCATGCGCTTCAGCCCCCTGGACGACTGCAGTGTTTACTATCATGGCTGCCACCTGAATGGGAAAAGCACACACTACCACTGCATGCAGGTAATGGCCCTGGGCTGCTTGCCACTTTTGCCACGGCTGAGATGGAGGGGAGAGTGGGGAATGGATGCCTGGGAGATGCCGGAAGGAAAGGCCGACCCCTTTTCTGTCCCCCTTTTCAATGCATTCCTAGGAAGCAGATCCCAATAGTCATTCATCAGGAGTACCATTCATTCTAGCATTCCTTCCATAGAGTGCAATGGTTCCAAACCTGTGGTCTGTGGACCACAAGACCTAAAATATGGTGGGTGAACAGATGGCAGTGTTATCTCTTCCATAGGAAGCTTTTCTTTATAGTAAAATAATGTGGTTGCACTATTTACAAGAACAAGGTTTCCATAACACAAATACAGTTCTTTACGCTTCCTTCTTTGCTTCCATGCTGGGCTTCTTTCTTATGCAGATAAACAGCTTCACTCACACAGAGCCTCTTCTCACACCGAAGTTACACAGGAACTTCACACAATAGCTTTTTACACACAGCAGCCTTCACACTGGACCTTTCTCTCATACTGAGATGTTCTCATACTAGGCCTCCACACAGTGAGGTCTACTAACACTGAGGCCTTTCTCCCACTGAGGCCTTCTCACACAGAGACCTCTCACACTGACTGATGGCTACTAACCTACAGGCACACCTGCTTCTCAGCTTTTGCTGAGTCATTGTATCCATTTAAACAGCTTTGCTCTCACAGAGACTCCTCTTACACCACACTTACTCAGGAGCTTCACACAGTAGCCTTTTACACACAACAGTTTTCAAGCTAGAGCTTTACACACGAGGCCTTCAACCTGGGGCTTCTCTCACTTTAGCTTCTCACAGACTATGGCCTACCTCACGCTGTGAGGCCGACTCTAAGGCCTACCTCATGCTGTGAAGCCTTCTCCAACAGACTAAGGCCTACTTCACACTGTGAGGCCTTCTCTAACAGACTAAGGCCTACCTCACACTGTGAGGCCTTCTCTAACAGACTAAGGCATGCATGGACAATCTTGGGCTCTCCAGGTGTTTTGGACTTCAACTCCCACAATTCCCACAATTCCTTACTGGCTACCAACTGAGAGCCAAAGTTTTCCCATGCCTGGACTAAGGCCTACCTCACAGTATGAGGCTTTCTCTCACAGACTAAGGCCTACCTCACACTGTGAGGCCTTCTCACAGACTGAGACCTTTCTCCCACTGAGGTTTACCTCAGACTGACGGCTACTACAATACAGGCACACCTACTTATATAGAACCGCAGCTTTTGCTGAGTTATTGCATCCATTTAACTCTTTGAGTGCTTGAGTCACACTCTTTTAATTAAAAGTACCAAATTAATTTTTAATATTTCCGACATACACTAACAAAACAATCAGGTTGGTTCAAAAAAGGTCCCTTCGAAAGAGACAGAGATGTTGGAAAGGGCAGCTGGAGCCAATGCCCATGTTAAGAAGCAAGGTGTCCAAACCTCGCCGATTCCCAATTAGAGCAAATCTCTCCGAAACAGCCGCTGTTGTGCCGAGGGCCTCGCGAGGGCCCTGCCCCCCTTCCCCCGATGTCCATAATTGGCATGGACAAAATTCAGTTAGTTGTTTATACCAGTGGACATTTTTCATGCTTTCGCGCAAAGGGCCCCGTTGGGAATTATTCACGAGGAGTTTTTTGTTTAATTTGTCCTTTTAGCACCACACCGGGGTCTGTCTTCTTTCAAGGTGTCAGGGTGGAAAGAGGCCCTCTCTCTCTCTCTCGTTTTGGAACTCTCTCTTCCCGGCTTTCGCCCTTTTCTGGGTGTTTGCTCAATGTTTTGTGATTGCCTCTTTGAATCAACCCAAGGAACGGAGGTTTGTGGGGGGGCACGATGTTTTGGTTTGCTTCACTTCTGAGACGGTGCAGGCATTGGCACCCGGCGCGCAAGAGGAGGCGGGAGGGAAGCGAGGCGCTCGCCGGGCACGACAGCCTTGTCAGATTCCACTGGAATTTTACTCAATATGGCAAATTGGCCCACTTTGCCCGGGGAGAGCGGGGCGGGCGAAGCGAGGGGAAAAAGGGAGGCAGGTCTGCAGCATTCCATCTCGGTCACACGCTGTGCACGCAGTGTGAATAAAACAAAGCCAAGTTCAAGAGCAGGTGGGTGGCAAGAGGGCATTGGTTCTCCCTGGTGGAGACAACCTGTCTACCTGTCCTCACCATACGGCCAAAGGAGCATCTGTGAGCAATCGAACTTACTCAGTAGCTTCACACAGTAGCCTTTTACACACAGCAGCCTTCACACTAGAGCTTTACACACGAGGCCTTCAACCTGGGGCTTCTCTCACCGAAGCTTCACACAGACTGAGGCCTACCTCACACTGTGATGCCTTCTCTCACAGACTAATGCCTACCTCACACTGTGAAGCCTTCTTTAACAGACTAAGGCCTACCTCACACTGTGAGGCCTACTCTCACAGACTAAGACCTATCTCACACTGTGAGGCCTTCTCACAGACCTTTCTCCCACTGAGGTTTACCTCAGACTGACGGCTACTAAGATACAGGCACACCTACTTATATAGAACTTCAGCTTTTGCTGAGCCTTCACATCCATTTAACTCTTTGAGTGCTTGACTCACTTTCTTGTAATTAAAAATACCTAGTCAATTTTTAATATTTCCAACATACCCTAACAAAATGTTGACTAAGGTCTACCTCACACTGTGAGGTCTTCTCACAGGCTGAGACCTTTCTCCCACTGAGGTTTACCTCAGACCGACAGCTACTAAGATACAGGCACACCTGCTTATATAGAACCACAGCTTTTGCTGAGTTATTGCATCCATTTAACTCTTTGAGTGCTTGACTCACTTTCTTGTGATTAAAAATACCTAATTAATTTTAAATATTTCCGACATACCCTTACAAAATGGTCAGACTAAGGCCTACCTCACACTGTGAGGCCTTCTCTGGGCTGCCTTCACACTAGAGCTTACTTTTACACACAGAAGCCTTCACACCACCTTACTTTGCACTCAGATGCTCCATGATATTGGTCTGACCCTGCTCCTTTCCACATTGATTCCTCATCTCCCAATAATGCTTTGGCTCTAAATTTGCGGCTGTAAGGAAGGGAGGATCACCTTCTTTGCATGCAGGATCAATCCATGGGTATTTCCAATTAAGATCCATTTCAGATCTCATGTGGTCAGAGAGATTTCCTCCGCCTGGAGCTCCGAGAACCGCTTGCTAGAGCTACCTAGGACCACAACACCACACAAGAGTCCAGAGTATAAGCAAACCGTTTATTGTAAAAACCCATAAAATATATGAAAAAGCAGGAGTAAGGAAAGGAGAGGGATACTCCAGACACGGTTTAGCAATAAATGGTAGCCACACAGGAATCCAAGTGTCACATAAAAATCCAAAGGTAACACAGTCCAGGATTATCCAAAAATCACCAGCACAGACGAAATCCATAAGCCAAAGGTATACATGATAAAACTTGAGCAGGAACCATAAAACAAGAACATACTTTAATCCAAAACTAAGACTTGACACAATGACTAGGAAACTTAGGCCGGACTTCTTACTCAAAAACCAACATTGCCTGAACTAACTTAAAAGGTAAATCCTGGTTGTTAATAGGCAATCATGAAATCATGTCTTTTCCCATGGATTTTCTCTATCTCTTTCCCACATAGTCTCACAGACCCACGGAGCTGATTCTCAGCTCTGATCTTTAAATGGAAACTTTTCCTTATCTCCATAATGCCAGGTGCTTTCCCTTGAGAATTTTCCATTTCACTTAATTCATCTTCACTCGACCCTTTATCTAATGATACTGTTTCTGGCTCCTGTGACTGACCTTGGAGTCAGCATTGTCTGAGGTAATATCATTTCCTTCATCTCCCTGGCCTGAATCTTCAACAATTTGAACCTGGCTTGTACCCAGGAAATCTCACAATCCCTTCTGAATCATGAGTGAACCCATCAGCCCCTGGCTGCTGAGCTGCAACACTCAACTTGTCCCATTGCCACACCAGCCTCCTGTTAGATGTTCAGAAGTGATAGATCGCAGTATGGAAATCTTGCTTTTCCTCTTTTCTCCTTATGACATCCTTTCTTCCATTCATCCACGTCTTGTGACATCTCTTCCCCCAGGTGGGCTGCAACAAAGTCTACACCAGCACTTCCGATGTCATGACCCATGAAAACTTCCACAAGAAGAACACGCAGCTCATTAATGACGGGTTCCAGAGGTTCCGGGCTACAGAAGACTGCGGCACCGTGGATTGCCAGTTCTACGGGCAGAAGACCACCCACTTCCATTGCAGGTGAGCTATCTTCAAAAGGAAAGGTGGCCCCTTGGCTCATTTCCTCATCCTGGTATCCCAAAACATGGGCTGCAGAGGAGATCTAGTCTTGGAATGTCTCAGGTAACAAGGCAAAGGGGCATCTGTTGTTCCTCTTTGCTAGCAATGTCTCCATAGCTTTGACCACAGTCTCAACCTGAAGACTTGTCAATACACGTTTGTTTTCCTTCAAAACTGAGATGTATGTGGTGGAGCCAAATGTGACCATTTGGGCAAGGCTTCCACTTTGGAATGATACACCATCACCTGACCGTTGGAAGCCAGTGAAACTTTTGGCCCGCCTTACAGATATGTCAATAATCACTGGATGATCCAGAGCTGAGGCTGTATTGACGTCCTCTGCGGTCATCTGAGGCAGAGCTTGGGAAAATTACCTTTTTGGCCTACAACCATGTTGGTTAATGGATTCCGGGTTGTGTTGTCCAATAAAGCAATTTTTAGAAAAATCTCCGAGACACTCGAAATGACCACAGGCCCTCTCTGAATCGCCTGAGCTACGATGACTCATTCACAAATGCAGCTTTGTCGTTGGATTTCTAGTCTGCGAGTGACAGAAATGGACATAGGAAATGATTGTTGTAGAGTCAAAAAATTATAGTTTCAGGCTATCACTGAGGCAATTTTTTAATATTGTTTTTGTCCGTTATGCTGATGTGGTGGTGATGAACATCCTGATTTGTATATCAGGGAACAAATCCCATCTTATTTGAAGAGGGTCACTTGGACATGAAGGCAAGGGACTGTAGCTCAGTGGCCATCTAGTATGTATTCCATGGGTTCCAGCTTCTGTTCCAGTCTGATCTGATCCAGTGTGATCCTTCCTTCCCTTCCACCCTTCCTTCCTTCCTTCCTTCCTTCCTTCCTTCCTTCCTTCCTTCCTTCCTTCCTTCCTTCCTTCCTTCCTTCCTTCCTTTTCTCTTTCCTTCCCTCCTTCTCTCCCTCTTTCTCCCTCCCTCCTTCTTTCCTTTACATCCTTTCTTCCTTCCTTTCCTCTTTCGTTCCCTCCGTCTTTCTCCTTCCCTCCTTTCCTTTACATCCTTTTATCCTTCCTTCCCTCTTTCCTCCCTCTGTCTTTCTCCTTCCTTCCTTCCTTCCTTCCCTCCTTTTTGTTTTGCTTCTATCTTTCCTTCCCTCCCTTTCTTCTCTCCCTCTTACTTCCTCTCTCCTTCCTTCCCTTCCACCCTTTCGTGCTTCCTTCCCTCTTTCCTCCTTCTTTCTCTTTCTCCTTCCTTCCTTCCTTCCTTCCTTCCTTCCTTCCTTCCTTCCTTCCTTCCCTTTTGTCTTTCCTTCCTTCTCTTTCTTTCCCTCCCTCCCGCTTTCTCCCTCCCTTCTACTCTTTCATCTTTGCTTCCCTCTTTTCTCCCTCTCTCTTTCTCCTTCCTTCCTTCTTCCTTTCGTTTTTCCTTCCTTCTCTTTCCTTCCCTCCTTCCTTCCCTCTTTCTCCCTCCCTCCTCCTTTCCTTTACATCCTTCCTTCCTTCCTTCCTTCCCTCTTTCTCCTTCCTTCCTTCTCTCTTTCTTTCCCTCCTTCCCTCCCTCTTTATCCCTCCCTCTTTCCTTTGCATCCTTTCATCCTTCCTTCCCTCTTTCTTCCCTCTCTCTTTCTTCTTCCTTCCTTCTTTCTTTCTTCCCTCCTTCTGTCCCTCTTTTTCTCTCTTTCCTTCCTTACCTTCCACCCTTTCTACCTTCTTTCCCTCATTTTTCCATCTCTCTTTATCTTTCTTTCCTTCCTTTTTGTCTTTCCTTCCTTCTCTCTTTCCTCCCCTTCTTCCCCTTCCCCCCCTCATTGTTTCCTTTCCACCCTTTCGTCCTTCCTTCTCTCTTTCCTCCTCTCTCTTTCTCCTTCCTTCCTCTTTCTCCTCCTTTCCTCCTGGGGCCTCAGAGTGTGGTGGAGTCTCCTTCTCTGGAGGCATTTCTGCAGGGAAGTGCTTTCATTGTGACTTCCTGCATGTCAGGGGGTTGGACTGGATGGCCCTTTGGGGTCTCTTCCAGCTCTAGGATTCTAGGATGCTATATCAGGAGTAGGCAATACGGGTTCCAATGGATACCTCTTTTGTCTCCCGCCCTCCATCTCATCCTGACCAAGGCCAACCCTTTTGGGATTCACGCACACCTTCACAAACACTGAGGCCTACCTCACACTGAGGCCTCTCACACCGAACTCTTTTGAGATCCAAAAATTCCCATCTTTCCTTCACTTTCTGCCTCCAAAAAAGAAGAGGAAGGGGAGGAAAGGGCAGGGAGGGGGCTTGGGGAGAAGACCCTCCCTCTTGGCCAGCCCACTCCACTCCGGCCTGCCATGTGACCCCCAAGTTAGAAAGTTTGCCCATGCCTGTTCTAGAATCTATTTAGAGCTATTGTTCAGGAAATCTGAGAGGGAAAAAATAGTATCTTGATCTACACCAGCCAATGGTCTTCTCATTCTGGCCAGGTCAACCCTGTGAGGAAATCAAGTAGATGTCACAACTCACTCCATGATTTTCTGACTTGCAGGCGGCCCGGTTGCACGTTCACTTTCAAGAACAAGTGCGACATTGAGAAGCACAAGAGCTACCACATCAAGGACGACGCCTATGCCAAGGACGGCTTCAAGAAGTTCTACAAGTACGAGGAGTGCAAATACGAGGGCTGCGTCTACAGCAAGGCCACTAACCACTTCCACTGCATCCGGCCCGGCTGTGGCTTCACCTTCACCTCCACCAGCCAGATGACCTCCCACAAGCGCAAGCACGAGCGCCGGCACATCCGCAGCTCCGGCGTCCTGGGTCTGCCCACTTCTTTCCTGGGGGCCAAGGAGAACGACCAGGAGGAGTCCAGCAACGACGACCTCATCGACTTCTCCGCCATGAGCTCCAAGAACTCCAGTCTGAGTGCCTCCCCCACCAGTCAGCAGTCTTCCGTCTCCTTGATCATCCCTGGCACGCCGTCTTCGGCCGCCGAGTTGGCCGCCTCACAGCCCTCCAACAAACCCGTCAACAGCATCTCCTCAGCTTCCAAGATCTCCAGCCTGCTCTCGCAAACCCTCCCGAGCAACATCCCCTTGGCCCTGGCCCTCTCCAACGCAGCCCTTCCCGGAACAGCGGGGTCTTATTTTCCCATTCTCCCCAGTCGGGTCTCCACCCCGCTGCCCGCCACTTCTGCGAGCTTGATAGCTGCCGGAGCTTCGAGCACCAACCCAGCTTCCTCTGCCAGCTCCCCTTCCCAGGCCATCTCAGGTTCCGGCGAGGCGGCGGTCACCTCTTCACCGACTCCAGCAGCTTCCATAATGGAAAGGATCTCTGCCAGCAAAGGCTTGATCTCACCCATGATGGCCAGGTTGGCGGCCGCGGCGTTGAAGCCCTCGGTTGCTGCGGAGGCAGGTGAGAACCTCACATCCATTGATTGGGGATGTTGGAAGAGGAGACGGGAGGTTAGGACAATTGTTTGGCAGGAAAGGAAGGGAAACGTTGTCTTCCATCGTATTGGTAGCATCCTCCGTACAATCAGGACAATTGCTTTTCAGTTACTGCCCATGAAGTCATATCCAACCCAGATTAGTGTCTTTCCTTCTTGGAACCTGGTTCGGAGGGAGACAACCAAAACCTGTTTTGAATTTGGGTTCAAGGAAACAGGGAGGAAGAGAACTCCTTGTTGTTTGTTCAAGGAAACAGGGAGGTAAATAACGCCTTGTTCTTTTCCCTGCCTTCCAGATCAACTGCCCAGATAGAAAGCAGGTTTGGCTTTGAGGCTCACCACATCTTTCCCAACTGTCTGTTGTCCCAACCTTCTCGGTCCAATTGCAAAGCTCCCCTGACTCTTAAAAAATGATGTTAATATTAAAACAATGCAGGTGTCTTAAAGCAACATACACCTATTTTCAGAACTCTATCGTGGTGCCATTTTTAGGTAACCTTGGGTGTGAGAAAGTCAAACTGAGTTAGTCAACAGTGCCAATTTTCTTGGCCATCCTCAACATCTGACTCCCATTTTTGCCTTTTTGGGTGAAAGAGACAAGAGTAAACCCAATCTTTCTCCAGTGATAGACCAAGCATGGGCCAACTTAGGCTTAAGAGGCTGAGGGGGGAAAAGGAAAGGACCTGAGGCTGTTAGGAATTCTGGGAGTTGAAGTCCAATTCACCTGGAGGGAGAGCCCAAGTTGGTCCGTGCCTGTGCTATGAGTATGTCATCCCCGAAATGAAGGACATTGTCCACCTACTGAAGGAATTGTGGGAATTGAAGTCTAAAATGGCTGGACGACCCAGGTTGGCCCATGCCTGTCATCCATGTATTGAAGGGCATTGTCCACCTACTGAAGGAGTTGTTGAATTTGAGGACCCAAGTTGACCCATGCCTGTGCTATGGGTATGTCATTCATGTATTGAAGGACGTTGTCCACGTATTGTAAGGAATTGTGAGAGTTGGAAATCCAAAATGCCTGGAGGGCCTAGGTTGCCTCATGCCTGTGCTGAGTATGTAATCCATGTATTGAAGAACGTTGTCCACATAACGAGGGAATTGTGGGAGTTGAGGGCCCAAGTTGACACATGCCTGTGCTATGAGTATGTTGTTCATGTATTGGAGCAGTGGTTCTTAGCCTGGGGTCTCCAGATGTTTTGGCCTTCAACTCCCAGAAATCTTAACAGCTGGTAAACTGGCTGGGATTTCTGGGAGTTGTAGGCCAAAACATCTGGGGACCCCAGGTTGAGAACCACTGTATTGGAGGATGTTCTCCACATACTGAAGAAATTGTGGGAGTTGAAGTCGAAAATGCCTGGAGGGCCCAAGTTGGACCATGCCTGTGCTATGAGTATGTTGTCTGTGTATTGAAAGACATTGTCCGTGTACTGAAGGAATTGTGGGAGTTGAAGTCCAAAACACCTAGAGGAATGGCCCGAGTGGGCCATGACTGTGCTATCGGTATGCCATCCACGTATTGAATGTTGTTGTCCACCTACTGAAGGAACTGTGGGAGTTGAAGTCTAAAACATCTGGAGGGAGGGTCCAAGTTGACCCATGCCTGTGCTATGAGTATGTCGCCCATGGATTAAAATATGTTGTCCATGTACTGAAGGAATTGTGGGAGTAAGTCTAAAACATCTGGAGGGAAGGTCCAAGTTGACCCATGCCTGTGCTATGAGTATGCCATCCACATATTGAAGGTTGTTGTCCACCTACTGAAGGAATTGTAGCGGTTGAGGGCCCAAGTTGACCCATGCCCCTGCTATGAGTATGTCATCCATATATTGAAGGATGTTCTCCACATACTGAAGGAATTGTGGGAGTTGAAGTCCAAAGCATCTGGAGGGAGGGCCCAAGTTGGCCCCTGACTGTGCTATGAGTATGTCATCCATGTATTAAAGGATGTTGTCCGCATACTCAAGAAATTGTGGGAGTTGAAGTCCAAAACACCCATGCCTGTGATAGACAAATACAGTCCACAATCCCCTGCCATGGTTGCCCAAAAGCCACTAAAATAGGGAAGTGGCATGCCAATTGGCTGGTTTGTCATTCTTCGAAACCCACCTGAGCGAGCAATGATGAGGAAGAGAAGGCAAGGATACTCTGAAAAGTTTGGTGGACTCCTTTCGTTTGTGGTTTTTTGCTCTCCCTTCCGCTGCAGGCGTGGACCTCTTTCCGAAAAGAGAGAAAAAGAGAGAGCGAGAGAGGTCATGGAGGGGACTATTTTTCTTTTATTTTTTAATAAAATGCCACTTGCTGTCTGTGAAAGCGGTTCACCGTCAGCTGTAGTGCCTCCGGGCAAATTAATATTTTAGTCACTTGGGGATTGCGGATGAAAGCTCGGCGGACATGTTCCCGTCAGCAACTTTTTCCCCTCTCGCCATCTTTTCCATCCTTTCCTCGGGGATCTTGTTTTGCTTTGTTTTCCAAACTTTGCGGGGAGTTTTCACCTTGTTTTTGGAAACGAGCTTGATTTTTTTCGATCACATTTTTCCAACGGGAAATGGTGGGAAACGCCGTCGGTTTTGGGGACGCCGCCGCCGCCGCCGCCGCGATGGGGGAGAGGTCGCGCGGTTTGAACCAATCTGATTGGCTGTCAGTTTCGATCGACCTGACACGGCAGATGTTCCTTTTGGGCATGCTCAGTGAGGAGGCCGGCGCGGTCGCCAAGGCAACGTGGAGATTGGGGACTGGGAAGGGGGCTTGACTAGCAGTCTAAAGCTGCCACATTGCCTCAGCATTAACAGAGTCTTTAATAAACGCTTAAGAGGCAGCCCCGCAAATTAGTTATGACAGGTTGCGCCGAGCCTCGGATCTCCCCCTCGCTCCTTCCGCCCCTTCTCCTTTAAAGGGCCCGTAGCCTGGACAACTTTGACATAATTTTGCAATAATTATCACTTGAAGAATTTCCACGCTGGGCTGGATGTCAGAACCGATCACGTCAAGCCGGCAATAAATGCTGACCAGCAAGCCCAGGCCGCTCTCTTCCCTTCTGCCCTCACTTTTGTTGCGCGTCCCCTGCTCAACGTTCTCGTCCATTATTTGTTGTTGTTGACATCTCTGGTGGGTTGACTTCCTTCACTTTCTTCACTTATTTAAGACTTTGTGATTTCTTTTTTCACGCAGGGAACGGGCAGCCAACTCCTGGGCGGTTTAACCCGACTCAGATTAAACAAGAGACGGTGGAGAATCCTGGTCCCACGGCCCAGGATTCCTTGCAGGAACACAGCCTGGACCTGAGCGTGAAGGATCATGGGTAAGAGGGAGTGGGGAACATGTGGGCCTCCGGGCGTTATTGGACCACCATCAAGGTAACTCGGTGGGTTTCCATATCCAAGCGGAGATGGGAATCCTATTGAATTCAAATTCACTTTTACCAGGTTGGTTGTTGACATTATTTATGGAGTGACAGATTCAGATGCTCAAGTTGGAATTTCTTAAAATCTTCTCGTGATGGGTATGGAGGGGATGGGATCTTCTGTAACCTCTGACTCCGACTGTAATGTTAAATCCAAACAAGTGGTTCTCAACCTGTGAGTCCCCAGGTGTTTTGGCCTACAACTCCCAGAATTTTCCAGCCAATTTACCAGCTGATAGGATTTCTGGGAGTTGAAGGCCAAAACATCTGGGGACCCACAGGTTGAGAACCACAGATCTAGATGGTCATTGGGGGCCTCCTAAGGTCACTATATAGATCTAGGTGGACTTTGAGGGCCTCCTAAGGTCAGGATATAGATCTAGGTGGTCTTTGAGGGCCTCCTAAGGACTCTATATAGATCTAGATCAATGGTTCTCAACTTGTGGGTCCCCAGGTGTTTCGGCCTACAACTCCCAGAAACTCCCATCCAGTTTATCAGCTGTTAGGATTTCTGGGGGTTGATGGCCAAAACATCTGGGGACCCACAGGTTGAGAACCACTGCCATAAACTAAGCTTCTTCTGGCCACAGCATGGGTCTCTTCTTCATCTTATCCCCTGTTGGTTGGGCTCTGAAATCATGGTTGGACAGATGTCTTCAGAGAAATTGAGTTGCATCATGCAGGACAATGGGTCTATATAGTGACCTTAGGAGGCCCTCAAGGACTATCTAGATCTATATAGTGACTTAGGAGGCCCCCAAGGACCATCTAGATCTATATAGTGACCTTGGGAGGTCCTTAAAGACCATCTAGATCTATATCGTGACCTTAGGAGGTCCTCAAAGACCATCTAGATCTATATAGTGACCTTAGGAGGTCCTCAATGACCATCTAGATCTATCTAGTGACCTTAGGAGGTCCTCAATGACCATCTAGATCTATCTAGTGACCTTAGGAGGCCCTCAATGACCATTTAGACCAGTGGTTCTCAACCTGTGGGTCCTCAGATGTTTTGGCCTTCAACTCCCAGAAATCCTAACAGCTGGTAAATTGCCTTGGACTTCTGGGAGTTGTAGGCCAAAACACCTGGAGACCCATAGGTTGAGAAACACTAGTCTGGATTTAACCATTGCAGTTGGACCCAGAGGTTACTCAGATCCCACCCCCTCCATACTCAACACAGGAAGATTTTAGGGCATCTGAATATGTCACTCCAATAATAACGTTGACTGCCAACCTGGTACAAGTCAATTTGAACTCAACAGGATTCCCATCTCTGCTTGGACATGGAAACCCGCTGACCTGGTTGATGGGAGAATGGGTTTTGTCTCGGCCCTCCCGATGCCGCAGGTGGAATGTGGGGAAGGCAGGGGTGGGATGTGAAGGGAGAATTAATTGCCGTCCCCCTATGCACATCTTAACTAAACCCTGTTGGTTTGTGTGTTCCAGTAATGAATCAAATGGCCACACAGTCTCGGCAAATACATCTCTTTTATCCTCGCTTATGAATAAGGTAAGAGCCATCCATCAAGGGCCTTTCATTCCCCCCACCAAGAGAAATTAAAGCCGCCGCGGCGAGGTGGGGAGGGAGGGGGAGAGGCGTTTGTTTTTTAATGTTTTCCCTCTAATAAGATGAGTTTGTACCATTTAAATTTTGAGACCATTTTTCATCGGGTCTAATTTCAGAGCCACTGCTTACGAATTAATTTAATGAACTGGCTGAAGAAATATATTGCCGCCTCTGACACACTCTCCCCCTCCTCCTCCTCCTCCTCCTCCTCCTCCTCCCCATGTCCCTTTCGATGGAGGGGCGGTGGTTGTTGTTGTTGTTCTTTCTAATTTCCGCACCAGACAACTTTTCTTTTCCTCACTGTTATGAAAATTCTGCTTATTGATCTGAACAGATTTCTAAGGGTGGTGGGGTCATTTTGTTTCTTTGAGAGGGGAAAATGGCCAGAGTTCCGACCCTGAATCTTAAATTTCATGCTTTAGTGTTATTACCCCTGCTGTCAATACTTGGTTATTTTGTATAATTTATTTTAAATCAGTGATTCTGGGGACTACTTTGACCAGGGAGCACTCTCCAACATTAGTACCAAAAGGGTTAAAAATCGGTTTTTGGTCAACTTTAGTTTCAGTTTGGTGATTTGAGGTGCTGATTCAGAAAATTGCATTGGATTGCCCACATCAGCTGACTTAGAAAATTGAATTAGACCACATCAACTGATTTAGAAAATTGCATTGGATTGACCACAACAGCTGATTCAGAAAACTGAATTAGATAGAACACATCAGCTGATTCAGAAAATTGCATTAGATAGACCACATCAGCTAATTTAAAAAACTGAATTAGACCATGGATAGACCACATCAGCTGATTCAGAAAATTGCATTGGATTGGCCACATCAGCTGATTCAGAAAATTGCACTGGATAGACCACATCAGCTGATTCAGAAAATTGCACTGGATAGACCACATCAGCTGATTCAGAAAATTGCATTGGATTGGCCACATCAGCTGATTCAGAAAATTGCATTGGATTGGCCACATCAGCTGATTCAGAAAATTGAATTAGATAGACCAGATCAGCTGATTTAGAAAATTGAATTAAACCACATCAACTGATTTAAAAAATTGCATTGGATAGACCACATCAGCTAATTCAGAAAATTGAATTAGATAGACCACATCAGCTGATTTAGAAAATTGCATTGGATAGACCACATCAGCTGATTCAGAAAATTGCATTGGATTGATCACATCAACTGATTCAGAAAATTGCACTGGATAGACCACATCAGCTGATTCAGAAAATTGAATTTGATAGACCACATCAGCTGATTTAGAAAATTGCATCAGCTGATTTATAAAATTGCATTGGATAGACCACATCAGCTGATTCAGAAAATTGCATTGGATTGATCACATCAACTGATTCAGAAAATTGCACCGGATAGATCACATCAGCTGATTCAGAAAATTGAATTAGATAGACCACATCAGCTGATTCAGAAAATTGCATTGGTTAGACCACATCAGCTGATTTAGAAAATTGCATTGGACAAACCACATCAGCTGATTTAGAAAATTGCATTGGACAAACCACATCAGCTGATTTAGAAAATTGCATTGGACAAACCACATCAGCTGATTCAGAAAATTGCATGGACCACAGGTTGGGAACCACTGTTTGAAACAAAACAACTCCCCGTCTCTTTCAGCCTTTCCCCCCATTTATTTATAGATATAAACAAATGAGAATAGTTGTACTTGTTTACATTAATTGTGCCCCATAGTCAGCTGCATCCACAACCGGAGAGCCCTCCAAGCCGTAGCCTTGGGTCTCCTGTGGCTTGATGCGCTTTCAAGGCATCTCCCTTTCTTCCCCTGAGCTCCGAAGCCTCCAGATAGGACAATGCGACTTTGCCCGACACTCTCCCGCTTCCTTTTTCCATCCCTCCCTTCCTCTGCCCACCCCACCAAAGCTAGCTAATCAGTTGTTGATTTTGCACGACACTGAATTCCTTTCTGCATTTGCTCCTCTCTTTTTAACATGTGAGGGCGGAATATTATGGTTTTGGAGGTGACAAACTAGGATGGACAGTTGGGGCGAGAAACAGGCCGGCGGAATGTCGGATAAACAAAGATATCAGATAATACAGATTCTCCTACTGTTATCCATCCGATCCAGCGCTAGACACCTAGAGTACTAACAACAGGGAGTCAAAGAGTTAAGGCAAGGCAAGGCCCCGGGGCTAGAGGGGCCCAGCAGGAAGTGCCCAGATGCGGAAGAGGAGCGTGGGCATCACAGAGGAAAGGAGGGAGGATGCTTCCGCTTCCTGTCCTGCCTATTTTCTTCCTTTTTCACTTATTGGGAATGGAGAGAGAGTTGGGGAGTGCTCCTTTAATTGAAGGGGAAATGCTGGAGGAAAAAGGGGTGTCGGATAAGCCGGAATGTCGGATAAGCGAGACTCTACCATATTTAATAATCTATAGTGGATGTGGTCTTTCGTGCATAGTCAGCTTCTTCCCTCCCGACGTCCCCATTGCCTCGTCACTATAAGACAGTCTTTCTCAACCTGGGGGTCGAGACCCCTGGGGGGGGGGTTGCGAAGGGGTGTCAGAGGGGTCATCAGAAAACACAGTATTTTCTGTTCGTTATGGGGGTTCTGTGTGGGAAGCTTGGCCCAATTCTATCATTGGTGGGGTTCAGATTGTAGGTGAACTATAAATCTCAGCAAGTACAACTCCCAAATATCAAGGTCTATTTTCCCCAAACACCCCAGTGTTCATATTGGGCATATTGCGTATCCGTGCCAAGTTTGGTCCAGACCCATCATTGTTTGAGCCTGGGTGTAGGCGAACTACAACTCCCAAACTCAAGGGCAATGCCCACCAAACCCTTCCAGTATTTTCCATTGGTCATGGGAGTTCGATGTGCCAAGATTGGTTCAATTCCATCATTGATGGAGTTCAGAATGCTCTTTGATTGTAGGTGAACTATAAATCCCAGCAACTACAACTCCCAAATGACAAAATCAATCCCTCTCAACCCCACCAATATTCAAATTTGGGCATATGGGGTATTTGTGCCAAACTTGGTCCGGTCCAGAGAATGAAAATACATCCTGCAGATAATTATTTACAAGGCGATTCATAATGTTAGGGTTATGGTTGGGGGTCACAACAACATGAGGAACTGTATTAAGGGGTTAAGAAGGTTGAGAACCACTGCTATAAGAGGATTTTGCTTTCGGTCCTCTTACCCCTGTTGTCCCTCCCCAGATGTCTCAGAGCAATCCCAACCTGGGAAACCTCCTTGCTTTGAAGGTGGAGGCGGACGGAAGCCAGGCTGGGGGAGACGCAACGCAGTACCTGGGCAAGAGCGTGAAGGCTCTCGTTCAAGAGAAGCTCTCTGAGCCCTGGAAGATGTACCTGCGCAGGTGAGTGATTTTTTTTATTTGTACAAAATGAATAAGGTTGTGGGTGAACTACAACTCCCATCATGCCAGGTTAACCTCGAGACACTCCAACAGTACTTAATGTTTTTTATGTTGGGCAAGTTCGCTCTAGATGCATCGTAGGTGGGGTTCAGTGTGCTCTCTGGCTGTAGAGTAAACTACAACTCCCACTATGCTGAGTAAGTCCCCTCAAACCCCTCCAGTAGGTTGAGTTAGTCATGGAGGTTCTGTGTGCCAAGTTTGGTCTAGGTCCTTCATTGGTGGGGGTCACCGTTTCTCTGGTTGTGGGTGAACTACAACTCCCAGAAAGGAAGGTCAGTTCCCCCCAAACCCCTCCAGTAATCAAAAGTCAGCATATCGGGTCTGTGTGTCAAGTTTGGTCTAGATCCATCAGTGTTTGGGTTCATTGGATATAGGTGAACTATAACTCCCTCAAATCAGGGTGAATTTTCCCCAAAGACCTCCAGTATATTTTGCTGGTCATGGGGGCTCTGTGTGCTCAGTTTGGTCCAATTCCATCTTTGGTGGAGTTCGAAGTGCTCACTGATTGCAGGTGAACTATATATCCCAGTACCTACAATTCCAAAATGTCCAGGCCAATTCCCCTTAAAACCCGGCATATTGGGTATGCATGCAAAATTTGATCCAGAGCCATCATTGTTTGGGTTCATAGTTCACTTGGGATGTAGGTGAACTACAATTCCAAAACTCAAGGTCAATGTCCATGAAACCCTTCCAGTATTTTCTGTTAGTCAGAGTTCCGATGTGCCACGTTTGGTTCAATTTCATCGCTGGTGGTGTTCAGAATGTTTTTTGGTTGTATGCATACCAAGTTTGGCTGAGATCCATCCTTGTTTGGGTTCATAGTGCTCTCTGGATGTAGGTGAACTACAACTCCTCTAAATCCCTCCAAAGACCTCCAGTATGTTTTGTTGGTCATGGGTCTTCTGTGTGCCAAGTTAATTCCAGGTCCCTCATTGGTGGAGTTCAGAGTGCAGGTGTTTCCTCCATCACAGGCATCCCAGTGTTCCTGACTCTCTCCATTGGTGTGGAATTTGCATGACTCCGCCAATTACCTCTTCCTTAATCTTTTGTTATTCCTTTTTTGATCAGACACTGAACATACTAGAGAAGTTTGGGGAGAAATCGCCATGATTTATAGTTTGTCGCTTGTCCTTTCCCCTTTGTTTACCTTTCTTCCTCCTGTTCTCAGCCCGTGGAGCCAACTCAGGAACACAGGAGATGCCACCAAATTGCCAGATAAACGACATCCTTCCTTCCAATGATTTTCTAATTCTGGTGTTTACAAACTTAATTCCCTTCGTCCAGAGAGATCTTCTCGAATCCCAAAGCCGCTCTCCAGGCAGAGAGTGATATCATTTCCCAAAATAACACAGTTGCGTTCAAAAAAAGGACCCCCCAGAAGCAGAAACACCAGAAGGGCAATTGGCTTTGAATGGCGGAGGGGTTTTTTTTATCCCTCCCCCGAACAAGAGATCAGATCGCAAACATGCCATCTCGCTTCAGAGTAGACGATATGTAACGAGAAAGGACATTGAAAGATGCCTTTTGGCCTTTACCCAAAGCTTGCCATTAAGGGTGGAACTAAGCTTCTGCTTCTGTGTATTATTACTTGAGAGTAATAATATGGGGGCGCCCTTCTGAGAAGGCACATCGAGGATTGCGTTATTCTATCGAGAGAGTGGTGCTCAATTCATTTATCATGTCAGAAGCGATTTGAGAGTACAGTTGTTTTAGCGTGGTGAGATGTGTTCCACACTGAGCAGCAGAGTAGGGCATCTTTCTCCATGTACCAACCCGGGCCCTTCGATCCTCAGGGGAGGTCCTCCTGTCACCTTTACCAATCTCACAAGCCCGTCTTGTGGGTACAAGGGAGAGAGCCTTCTCTTCGGTGGCTCCCCGACTTTGGAACTCTTTACGCAGAGAGATCAGGAAAGCCCTTTCACTAGAAACATTTAAAAAGGACCTTAAAACCCGGCTCTTCTGCTGTGCCTTTGTTGAGTAGGTGCACACCATGACATTTTGCACCCCTCAACGTTTTTCTGCTACTGGAGCTCGCACCCCCCCAAATGGGAAGTTCAGCCTCATAAATCTATGTGTTTTATCAGTTCCCCGTAAATGTCTTGCTCCTATTTTATCTCATCACAGTTTTTTAAATTGTTTTATCCTGTACATGTGGCCCACCCACTGTTATCGTTATTGTGATAGTGTTTATTAGAATGTTATTTTATGACTGTTTTTTTCTTATTATTATTAATGTATTCTGATGTTTGTTGTTTAAGTTTTGATTTTATTGCTGCAATATGTTGTCCGGCTTGGCCCCATGTAAGCCGTTCCGAGTCCCCACCGGGGAGATGGTGACGGGGTATAAATAAAGATTATTATTATTATTATTATTATTATTATTATTATTATTATTATTAAGGGCAGATGCCTTCACTGTGTCTGGTTGTGAACCCCAGGTTGCGCCAGTCAACTTTCATATGATATTCTTTCTAGCACCCACTGTTTGCTTGATAGTCAAGCAGTGCTTCTTGTAAGTCACAGCCAAGTCCAGAGTAATTCCCAGATATGTTGGTGTGCTGCAATGCTCCAGTGGGATCCCTTTCCAGGGAATCCTCAGAGCTCGAGATGCTTGTCTGTTCTTAAAGTGAAAAGCACACATTTGCATTTTAGATGGATTAGGAATCAGCTGCAATAGGCAGTAAGAACACCTAAAGCTTCAGAGGGCTTCTGTTCAGCCATTTCAAAGCTTGGGCGGTGATGACACGATCGTCAGCATAGATGAAACACTCTGTCTCTTTTGGCAGTGGCTGGTTATTCTTGTATATGTTAAACATTGATAGAGCAAACTCGTTTTCCCTGTACTATTTATTTTATTTATTATTTATTTTGGGCATTTATACCCTGCCCTTCTCAACCCCCTGGGGGTGGACCCAGGGCGGCTTCCAGCTGGCATGTATTCGATGCCTACAATTAAACACAATAAAATACATATCAAAAATCAGTAGTTATAAATAATTAAAAACATTAAGTTAATACAATAAAACCACCAGAAAAGAAAAGACAACGGAGGTGGCCGTTGTCCCTCCGAGTTCTGTAATTGGAGACTTCATTCAGCTTGTCCATAATCCGTTTCCATAGCTATTGTCAACATTGTACTCGTCAAGTCTGCAAGATTACCCAAAGGTCCCACATCCACGTTTTTAATTTCCTTCTAAAGGAGAGGAGGGATGAAGATGACCTAATATCCCCGGGGAGTAAATTCAACAGGCGGGGGGCCACCACCAAGAAGGCCCTGTCCCTCTTCCCCACCAACTGCATTTGTGACTGGGGCAGGGCTGAGAGCAGGGCCTCTCCGGAAGATCTTGAACTCCTAGGTGGGATGTAGAAGGAGATACATTCAGACAGGTACGCTGGGCTGTATATGGTTTCATAGGTCAAGACCAGCACTTCGAATTGTGCTCAGAACTGGATCGGCAGCCAGTGGAGCTAACATAACAGAGGAGTAGTATGCTCCCTGTATGCTCCAGTGAGTAGTCTAGCTGCTGACTGTTAAACTAGTTGAAGTTTCTGAACAGTCTTCAAAGGCAAACCCACATAGAGCACGTTGCAGTAATCTATTCGGCAATAGCATGGACCACTGTGGCCAGATCAGACTTTCCAGTATAGGCAGTAAGAGCACCTAAAGCTTCGGAGAGCTTCTCTTCAACCATTTCAAAGCTCCCTGCTCGAGTGGTGATGGCATGATCGTCATCATAGATGAAGTTCTCCATCCCTTCTGGCAGTGGCTGATCATTTGTGTAAATGATAAACATTGATGGAACAAGCCCGCTCCCAAGAGGCAGAACGATCTTCTGTTTTCTCCATCTGCTTCTCTGGCTCTGGAACTCAACAAAAAAGCTCCTGTTTTGTAACAGATTTCCTATGAAGTGGGTGAGGTGAACATCCTTTGTGATATTATACATTTTTTTCAGGAGGCAATGATTTACAGTATCATACGCTGCTGGCAGGTCTATGAAGACACCTACTGTAATCTGCAGGAGATGGTGCTCTAATACTATTATTATTATTATTATTATTATTATTATTATTATTATACCCCGCCAACCATCTCCCCAAGGGGATTCGGGGCAGCTTACAAGGGACAAGCCCACAAATTACAATAAAGCACAACAGATTAAAATAAGAAGCAATGTTGATTCTTTTTTTAAATGTCATCACGTACAATAGTTGCTTGACTATCAGAGTACTTTGAAAATATCTTGGTTTTATATCATTGAATACAATTTAATACATCCTTTGCGTATTAAAATTGGTTGAAACAAGGACAGGAAATGGTGAAAAATTTCGTATTAGGCAGAAACGGCCTAAATAGTGGCATTCATTCCCTTCTCGAGGATCTTTTTCGCTCCTCAAAAAAAGAGAGGACACCTTCACTGTTTTTCAGTATGTAAATGTATTTAAATTTGACCAATTCAAAGCCAAACAGTTAATTAAAAGATTGACACTCCTGTAGAATTATATCCTGGTCCCCTTCCAGCCTCGTATGTCTCCTTTTGTCGTCCTGTATCTGTTTGATCAGTCGGGCCATTATGTTTTGGCACAAGCAAGCGCCCGTCCTTGTCTCCCGAGTTCAAAGCCAACTGACAAGGATTCCAGATAAGGGGATGTAACCAGTCGCTCGGCAACCGCGCTTGCGTCGCCGGAGATGTCTTGTTCACTCTGCGGGGACGACAACCAAGGGGACCACCCTGGTCTGATGATTTGCCACCTTCCATGCTTGGTGTTTGAGGAGGAGCCAAAGCTTATTCATAGAATTGTGTTCGCCATGACCGGATAGACTACTGCAATGCACTCTATGTGGGGTTGCCCTTGGAGACTGTTCAGAAGCTTCAAGTGGTCCAACGGGCAGCAGCCAGGTCCCTCACCGGAGCACAATTCAGAGTGCTGGCTTTAGCCTATAAAGCCCTAAACCAGGGGTCCTCAAACTATGGCCCGCGGGCCGGATACAACCCTCCAAGGTCATTTACCGAGCCCTTGCTCAGGGTCAACCTAAGCCTGAAACGACTTGAAAGCACACAACAACAACAACAACAACAACAACCCTATCTCATCAGCCAAAAGCAGGCCCACTCTTCCCATTGAAACACTAATAAGTTTATATTTGTTAAAATTGTTATTAATTTTAATTATTGTATTGTTTTTAAGTGTTTTTTGAACTACAAATAAGATGCAGTGTACATCAAATTATAATCCGGCCCTCCAACAGTTTGAAGGACTGTGACCTGGCCCTCTGTTTAAATGGTTTGAGGACTCCTGCCCTAAACTTACTTGTCCAAATATATCTCCCTGTATGAAACATCACGAATATTAACATCTTCGGGGGAGGCTCTGCTTTCATTCCTGCCTCCTTCGCAGACACAATTGGTGGGGACGAGAGACAGGGCCTTCTTAGTGGTGGCCCCTTGACTGTGGAACTCTCTCCCCAGCTCCTTCCTTTCTAGCCTTCAGAAAGAGAGTTAAAACATGGCTTTTGGAAAATAATTGCAGTGGAATAAATAAATGAACATCGAATCTGTGCAATGACATTTGGAACGGCCCTGGATTACAACTTTGGATTACAGTAGAGTCTCACTTATCCGACATAAACAAGGAAGCAGAACGTCGGATGAACAAAAATGTTGGATCATACAGAGTCCGCAAACATTTTAATGAATATTTCTGCAAATACTTTTAGGAATTTTTTTTCTGAAAATATATTTGTGAATATTTTGGTTATTTCTGAGAATATTTTTCTAAATATTTCTGCATATATTTTTCTGAACATATTTTGTAAATATTTTTTCCAAAATGAATAATTCCTGGGAATATTTTTATGATTATTTTTTGAAATAATTTGTTGAACATTTTTTGTGAATATTTCTGCAAATATGTTACGAATTCTATAACTCTTTTTGTTGCTATATTAACGAATATTTCTGACAATATTTTATGATTATTTCAATGAATATTTCTGACAATATTTTGTATATATTTTATTATTATTTCTATTAATATTTTTGTGAATATTTCTGCACCCTTTTGTGATTATTTCAATGAATATTTGTGCAAATATTTTATCAATATTTTTGATTTCGTATATATGTTACCATTGAATCTTGCCTTTACTTGATGTAGACTTCTTTTGAATCTCCCCAGGGACTCAATAAATAAATATATATATATATATATAATAAATAAATAAACAAATAAATATAATAAATAAATAAATATAATAAATGCAATAAATAAATAAATATAATAAATATAAATAGACACCTAGAATACTAACAACAGAGTTAAGGCAAGGCAATGCCCCAGGGCTAGAAGGAAGTGCCCGGAGGGAAGGAGGGAGGATGCTTCCGCTTCCGCTCCTGCCACTTTCCCCCTTTCCCCTTTTCCCTTTCCTCCCTCTTCCTCCTCCTCCTTGCCTTTTTCACTTATTGGGAATGGAGAGAGAGTTGGGGAACGCTCCTTTAATTGAAGGGAAAATGCCAGAGGAAAAGGCGGACGTCGTATAAGACGCAATGTCGGATAAGCGGTTGGATAAGCGAGACTCTACTGTGCCACATCAACTCTAGATTATTAAATACGGTTTTCGGTGGGCAAGCAGATGGTGACTTCTGTATCAGAAACCAGAGCTGATGTGGTCTATCCAATGTGATTTTGCATCAGAGCATCGGATAAGAGAGAATGTCGGATAAGTGGAGGTCGGATAAGCGAGACTCTACTGTGTCACATCAGCTTTAGATTATTAAATATGGTTTTCGGTGGGCAAGCAGATGGTGACTACTGTATCAGAAACCAGAGCTGAGGTGGTGTATCTAATGTGATTTTGTATCAGAGCATCGGATAAGAGGGAATGTCGAATGAGCTGAGCGAAGGTCGGATAAGCAAGACTTTAATGTATTTAATAAGCCTTGGCACTATAAGAGGGTTTCGCGAGACCAGTCACTCTCGTTGCAACAGTGAGGCTGTGGACCATCTTTTAGTTCTTATGGAGTACTGGTGGTCCACAGCCCACAGGTTGGGAACCACTGTTTGAAATAAATATGGCTACTGAAGAATTGACGGTGTTCAGATGAATAATGTCGTCCTCTTGTAGTCTCATTGTTCTCTGTTCAGGTCTGACTGAGCTTATGTCTCCGTTTTGGCAGGTTCGGTACCAAGGATTTCTGTGACGCCCAGTGCGACTTCCTTCATAAAGTCCATTTCCACTGTGTGGTGGAAGAATGCGGGGCCCTCTTCAGTACCTTGGATGGAGCCATCAAGCACGCCAAGTAAGTGGGTTGGACAGGAAGTTGACACGCCATGACCTCTTCCCATTCCCAAGAAACAATCAGAGACAGCTAGTCACCTCTCAACAAAGGATTCCACCAGGCAGTAAGAAGTCACACCTTGAAAACTGCTAGGCCATTAAATGCTAATCAAGGTGGCCAATTGAAACATTCTCACCTACCTCCAACAGACAAGAGTTCTTTCTCCCACCTTGGACATTCCACCTCTGAACAAAGGATTCCCCCAGGCAGTAAGAAGCCACACCTTGAAAACTGCTACGCTATTACATGCTAATCAAGGTGGCCAATTGAACATTCACACCTACCTCCAGCAGACAAGAGTTCTTTCTCCCACCCTGGACATTCCACCTCCCAACAAAGGATTTCCCCAGGCAGTAAGAAGCCACACCTTGAAAACTGCTTGGCCATTAAATGCTAATCAAGGTGGCCAATGGAAACATTCACACCTACCCCCAACAGATACGATTTCTTTCTCCCACCCTGGACATCATTCCACAGATATATCACCTCTCAACAAAGGATTCCCCCATACAGTAACAAGCCACACCTAAAACTGTCAAATGCTAATCAAGGTGGCCAATTGAAACATTCACACCTACTTTCTCCCACCCTGCACTTTCCACAGATATATAAACCCATTTTCCTAGTTTCCAACAGACCTCACCACCTCAGAGGATGCTTGCCATAGATGCAGGAGAAACATCAGGAGAGAATGCTTCTGAAACATGGCCATACAGCCCAAAAAACTTACAATAACCCAGTGATTCCAGCCAGGAAAGCCTTTGACAATACATAAAACATAAATCCTTCTCTTGGGGTTGGGGTCATTTGAGATATCTTGAGGGTCCTTGTCATCGTGAGGAACAAATAACCGGATGCAAATTTACTGTTTATTTTTTCATACAAGGAAACTGGGCATAATTTTAAGCTTCCTCTCAAGATAAAATAGATACCAGAAGGTCGGAAAGGTATACGACATCAGTACATAAATGCAGACACTTTCCCTCTGTTTCCCTCTGCCTCTAGTTTCCACTTCAGGACGGACGGTGGTGCCGTGAAAGGGACCACGGACCTCTCTTTCCCGGCCTCTGCGGAGACCAAGGCTTCCTTGGGCCCGTCCTCTCCTCCCGCATCTTCCGCTGCCGCTCTGGCAAACGCCTCTGGCTCGGACCTCCCCGCCCTGAACCCGGTGACGGTCTCCTCCACTCCCACCCTCCTGGCCTGGAAACAGCTGTCTTCCACCATGTCCCAGCTCCCCGCGTCAGTGCCTAACCTGGCCACTTCCCCGCTGGCGACAACGTCCCTCGAGAACGCCAAGCCTCAGGTCAAACCCGGGTTCCTCCAGTTCCAGGAAAAGTGAGTGGCTCATAAGATGCGGGTGGGCAAATCCTCCCACCAAAAGGCCTCTCCCCTGTGATTGGCTGACCTCTCAGCCAAGGGGCGGGCTGTCTCTGAGACTCCCAATCAGGGAGGGAGAGCGTGCGAGGCTGGAGGGAGGCTCGCACCAGCGAGTTCCTTCAAGGTTTAGGGGTCCTGTGTGAGACCCTTAAACCTTGAAGAAACTCGCTGTATCATTGGTGGGGTTCAGAATGCTCTTTGATTGTAGGGAGTTGAAGTCCAAAACACCCAGAGGTCCAAAGTTTACCCATTCCTGTGCTACACAATGGCGGGCAGATAGATAGATAGAACGTATCTCCCTCCACGTCCCACCTCGGAGTTTAAGATATTCAGGGGAGGTCCTGCTCTCATTCCCGCCTCTGGCGGAAACACGCTTGGTGGGGACGAGGAACACGACCTTCTTGGTGGTGCCCCCCCCCCCCCGCCTGTGGAAATTTCACCCCAGCGAAATCAGGTCAACTACATCCCTCCTTTTCTTCAGGAAGAAAATGAAAACGTGGTTGTGGGACCAGGCTTTCGGATTTAATTTTAAACTTATATGTAATTACTGTATTTATTATCTTGTATGTGGGGGCATAGAATTGTTGCCCTGAGTCCCCCAGTGGAGGTTGAAAAGTGCGGGGTACAAAGATGTTTGAAATAAATAATAATAAATAGATATCAAGCTCTATTTCCCCCAAACTCTACCAGTGTTTACATTTAGTCATATCGGGTGTTTGTACCAAGTTTGGTCCAGATCCATCATTGTTTGAGTCCAAAGTGCTCTACCTGGATGTGCCCACCAACACCTTCAAGGGCAGTGGTCCACAGGCCACCAGCGGTCCACAAGACCAAAAAAAATTGCCCACAAAACATTTTTGTCATGATTTTAAGCACTCCTTGGGTCCTTTTTGGATCCAGAAGTGGCAAAAATGCCGCCCAAGAAATAATATTGCCACAAAACAGGCCACACTTTGCTCATTCCTGTATTTAAGGGCTTCCAGAACTAATTTGGGGTCGGAACATAGTAAGACCGTTATTCCACGTGAATGTTCATCTTTCCTTTTCTGCAGTGATCCCTGTTTGGCGACCGATTGCAAGTATGCCAACAAGTTCCACTTCCACTGTCTCTTTGGGAACTGCAAGTATGTGTGCAAAACCTCCGGGAAAGCGGAGTCTCACTGTCTCGACCACATCAACCCCAACAACAACCTGGTGAACGTCCGAGACCAGTTTGCGTATTACTCCCTGCAGTGTCTCTGCCCAAACCAGGTGAGGGCAAAACCCCAGAGCATTGCTTTATTTCAGCCTGGGATGCGGGAGAGGGGAGGAGAGGAGAGGGGAGCAGGGGAGAAACCGAGGCAGGAAAACAAAGGGAGGAGGTGCCACTTGTAATGGTAAGCACACGGGTGAGCTCCAACTTTAAGCCAGATTAATGTCCGTATCATATTCTCTGCCTAGACCATCGTGATTGTTAGTGTCGTATAAGAATCCAAATTGTATCCTTTGGGAGAGTAGAATGCAACCTTTGATGGACAAGTATGTGCTGTATGAGATTAAGATGTAAGATTCATGCTCATACAACAATTGTGCTCAGTTCCTTCCTCTACTCTTTTTTGCAGTATGCACCTTCCTCTCCTCCTTTATCACACAGCACACATCTTCCTCTCCTCCTCTCTCAGTACAGCACGAACCTTCCTCTCCTCCTCTCTCACGCAGCACTCGCCTTCCTCTCCTCCTACCTTGGCACAGTGTGCACCTTCCTCTCCTCCTCTCATGTGTAGCACCCATCTTCCCCTCCTCCTTTCTCACGCAACACACACCTTCCTCTCCTTCTGTCTCAGCACAGAGTGCACCTCCTTTCTCACACAGGGCATGTCTTCATCTCCTCCTTTCTCGTGCAGCACTCGCCTTCCTCTCCTCTTCCCTCGGCGCAGTGCGCACCCTTCCTCCCCTCCTTTCTCACTCAGTGCATGTCTTGCTCTCCTCTCTTGGTACAGCACGCATCTTCCTCTCCTCTTTTCTCATGTAGCACACACCTTCCTCTCCTCCTCTCTTGTGTAGCACACATCTTCCTCTCTTCCTTTCTCACGCAGCACACAACTTCCTCTCCTCCTCTCTCAGCGCAGAGCACACCATCTTCTCCTCCTTTCTCACACAGCACATGTCTTCATCTCTTCCTTTCTTGGGCAGCACACGCCTTCCTCTCCTTTTCCCTTGGCGCAGTGTGCACCTTCCTCTCCTCCTTTCTTGCACAGTGCACACCTCCCTCTCCTCCTCCCTCGGCACAGTGTGCACCTTCTTCTGCTCTCTTGTGTAGCACGCGTCTTCCTCTCCTTTCTCACGCAGCGCATGTCTTCATCTCCGCCTTTCTCATGCTGCACCCACCTTCCTCTCCTCTTCCCTCGGTGCAGTGTGCACCTTCCTCTCCTCTCTCTCACAGTGCTTTTCTTCATCTCCTCCTTTCTTGTGCAGCGCACGCCTTCCTCTCCTCTCTTGGCACAGCATGCATCTTCCTTTCCTCCTTTTTCACGCAGAACACACCTTCCTCTCCTCCTCTCTCAGCACAGAGCGCACCACCTTCTCCTCCTTTCTCCCTCAGCGCATGTCTTCATCTCCTCCTTTCTCAGGCAGCTCCTCTTCCCTCGGCGCACTACACACCTTTCTGTCTTCCTTTCTCGTGCAGCGCACGCCTTCCTCTCCTCTCTTGGCACAGCATGCATCTTCCTCTCCTCCTTTCTCACGCAGAACATGCCTTCCTCTCCTCCTCTTTCAGCACGGAGCACACCACCTCCTCCTCCTTTCTCAGACAGCGCATGTCTTCATCTCCTTCTTTCTCATGCAGCATCCGTCTTCCTCTCCTCTTCCCTCGGTGCAGTACGCACCTTCCTCTCCTCCTTTCTCATGCAGTGCATGCCTTGCTCTCTTCTCTTGGCACAGCATCCATTCTCACACAGCACACGCCTCCCTCTCCTCCTTTCTCAGCGCAGAGTGCACCTTCCTCTCCTCCTCTCGTGCAGTGCGCACCTTCTCCTCCTTTATTATACCGCGCATGTCTTCCTCTCTTCCTTTCTCAGCTCTCCTTTCTCACACAGTTCATGCTTTCCTCTATTCCTCTCTCGGTGCAGCACACAACTTCCTCTCCTTCTTTCTTGTGCAGCACGCACCTTCTCCTCCTCTCCCGGCGCAGTGTGCACTTTCCTTCTCTCTCAGCGCAGCGTGCACCTTCCTCTCCTCTCTCATTGCAGCACGCACCTTCCTCTCCTCTCTCGGCACAGCGCACACCTTCCTTTCCTCCTCTTCGGTGCCAGTCTTCCCACTTTTCCTTATTCATGTACACACAACATTTCACCCAAAATGTATAGTTAAAATAAACTATGGTGATTACTGGAAGGGTACATAGACACATTGACATCGAAGAAGGTTAGAATAATGGTTTAATCAGAGCTGGGCCGTCTTATCTTAAATTACAGTTTATGTAAATATTATGTAAATATTCAAAAACATTGAACCTCCTGATGCCTCAATGAATGTCATAGGATGGGTTTTGGTTCAGACACAGGAAAGTGGGAAGAGGGAAAGTGGCTAATTCTTGCCATGGATCTGATTCATTGGGCCTCCTCCTCTCCTCCCAGCACTGTGAATTCCGAATGCGGGGCCATTACCACTGTCTCCGTCCTGGCTGCTTTTTTGTGACCAACATCACCACCAAGCTCCCCTGGCATGTGAAGAAGCACGAGAAGGCCGAGAGGAGAGCAGCCAACGGCTTCAAGTACTTCACCAAGCGGGAAGAGTGCGGCAGGCTTGGTGAGTGTCTATTGCAGCGTTTCTCAACCTGGGGGTGGGAACCCATGGGGGGATTTCAGAGGGGTCTTCATATATTTCGGATGGTCTTAGGAATCCCTTTGACAGAAAAGGCTGAAGATCTCTCCGCCTGTCCTTCTCTTCCTTTTTGGAAACAGACGGTGAATCCTCCCACCAAAGCCCTCCTCTAATGTGATTGGTCAGCCTTTCAGCTAAGGGGAGGGGTGTTTCTGAGACTCCCAAGTGGGAAGGGGAGAGCAGGTGTGCTCAGCAAATGGCAGCATGGTGCGCATGTGCAGGCGAAGGAGAGCGTGCGAGGCTGGAGGGAGGCTCGTGCCATTGTGTCCCTTCAAGGCATAGCCCTCCTCTGCTGTGATTGGCCGTCCTCTCAGCCAAGCGGGGAGGGGAGAGCAGGCGTGCTCTGCTAATGGCAAGGTGGTGCGCATGTGCGGGTGAGGGAGAGCATGCGAGGCTGGAGGGAGGCTCATGCCAGTGTGTCCCTTCAAGGCATAGCCCTCCTCTGCTGTGATTGGCTGGCCTCTCAACCAAAGGGAGGGCTGTTTCTGAGACTCCATGCAGGGAGGGGAGAGTAGGCGTGCTCTGCAAATGGCAGCGTGGTGCGCATGTGGGGGTGAGGGAGAACGTGCAAGGCTGGAGGGAGGCTCGTGCCAGTGTCCCTTCAAGGCATAGCCCTCCTCTGCTGTGATTGGCCGTCCTCTCAGCCAAGGAGAGGGCTGTTTCTGAGACTCCAAGCGGGGAGGGGAGAGCAGGCGTGCTCTGCTAATGGCAAGGTGGTGCGCATGTGCGGGTGAGGGAGAGCATGCAAGGTTGGAGGGAGACTCATGCCAGTGTGTCCCTTCAAGGTATAGTCCTCCTCTGCTGTGATTGGCCGGCCTCTCAGCCAAGGGGAGGGCTGTTTCTGAGACGCCACACAGGGAGGGGAGAGCAGGCACACTCGGCACATGGCAGCATGGTGTGCATGTGCAGGCGAGGGAGAGTATACGAGGCTGGAGGGGTCTCGTTCCAGTGAGTCCCTTGAAGGCATGGGGTTTCTGTGTGGGAAGTTTGACCCAATTCTATTGTTGCTGGAATTAAAAATGTTCTCTGATTATAGATGAACTATAAATCCCAGCAACTACAACTCCCAAATTACAAAATCAAATTTGGCCAAATTTGGTCCAGTGAATCAAAATCCATCCTGCATATCAGATATTTACATTATGATCCATAACAGGAGCAAAATGACAGTTCTGAAGTAGCAACGAAAATAATGTTATGATTGGGGGTCACCACAACACGAGGAACTGTATTAAAGGGTCACGGCATTTGGAAGGTTGAGAAACACAGTCTGTTGTCATTTGGTGAAGAAAGCAGACTCTTACACCAAGTGAGGTATTCTCTTTCTGGCCCACCTTTCCTCCATGAGATTCAAGGCAACGAGTACTTCGACCACCCTGCAAATTAGCTTAGTCTGAGACGCCGTGATTGACCCAAAGTATTCCATACCAAGTTAGATTCTCCCAGCCTTATTTAGCCACTATCACACGGTCTTCCCGTGCTTTCTTACAGCTTCACTTGGCTTCCAAGCCTCCTGCAGTTTCGACCCAAGCCACCTGCTTTCTGTGCAATTAGGTAGGCAAACAGGTTGTTAGAAATGCTTCAATCAACGCAAATTGTTCCCTTTGATGGGCAGCTCTTTCCCTTTAGTAGGATCTACTAGGGCTTATGGAAGGAGGTTCTTCACCACCACCACGTTGCATTGGAAATACTTCAATCAATACAAATTTGATGGGCAGATCTTTCCCTGAGTAGGTTCTACTAGGGCTTATGGAAGGAGGGTTCTTCACCACCACCTTGCATTGGAAATAGTTTAATCAAAACAAATTGTTCTCTCTGATGGGCAGGTCTTTCCCTGAGTAGTATCTACTAGGACTTATGGAAGGAGGGTTTACCACCTCCACTACCACCTTGCATGAATCAGCATGAACCGTTCTCTTTGATGGGCAGGTCATTCCCCTGGTAGGATCTACTAAGGCTTATGGAAGGAGGGTTCTTCACCACCACCTTGCATTGGAAATACTTTAATCAACACAGGGCAGGTCTTTCCCTGAGTAGGATCTCCTAGGTCTTATGGAAGGAGGGTTCTTCACCACCATCTTGCTTTGGAAATACTTTAATCAACATGAATTTGATGGGCAGGTCTTTCCCTGAGTAGGATCTCCTAGTTCTTATGGAAGGAGGGTTCACCACCACCACCACCTTGCATTAATCAACATGAACTGTTCTCTTTGATGGGCAGGTTTTTCCCTTGAGTAGGATCTACTAGGGCTTATGGAAGGAGGGTTCTTCACCACCATCACTTTGCATTGGAAATACTCTAATCAACACAAATTTGATGGGCAGGTCTTTCCCTGAGTAGGATCTCCTAGTTCTTATGGAAGGAGGGTTCACCACCACCACCACCTTGCATTAATCAACATGAACTGTTCTCTTTGATGGGCAGGTTTTTCCCTTGAGTAGGATCTACTAGGGCTTATGGAAGGAGGGTTCTTTACCACCACCACCTTGCATTGGAAATGCTTTTTGGAAGGAGGATTCTTCACCACCACCACCACCACCTTGCATTAGAAATACTTAAATCAACACGAATTGTTCTCTCTGATGGGCAGGTCTGTCCCTAAGTAGGATCTACTAGGACTTGTGGAAGGAGGGTTCTTCTTGTATTGTCCGCACCATCAGATCCAAGCCTAACAAGGCAAGGTGCATTGTCTCTCCTAAACCAGGTGATGGAGAGGGTGGGGTCCCATCATATTAATGACTGAGCGTGAGAAAAAAATTAAATCATTGGAATCTCCCAGTCGTTCCTTTTGACCCAATTCCGCCGGGCTTGAGGGCACAGGCCTTTCGGGATTCGTTCCCAGCCCCGAAGAGCAAAAGCCAAGGGATAAATATTTCCCACTGCTGGGGATGCAGGTGGGTGGAGAGAGACGATCTTTCGCTCTCGAGATTGCCCCACCTTTCTCCTGGCACTCGCTCCCGCTTCGGCGCTGGAGGCGGGTGCATCGCCGGTTCTTTCGATGCCAACGACCGGCACATCAAAAGGCCTGATAGATGGCACAGAGCAGGGGTGTGCGGCTGGCGGCTTCGTTTGCCAAACTTATTAGAGCCCTGCCAAGGCAATTACGAAATCGTAAACACCTCTCCCATCCACCCCACCCTCCTCCAGAGCCTCCGGAGGTTATGATAAAGGGAGTGGAATTGATCAGCACTTCCCTGCGCAACGCCAACCGGAGGCATCAGCCCTTCAGGATCGCCCTCAAGTCCCGTGGGTCAGTGGAGAATGTGCAATGGAAGGCATTCAGCTTGTGTTTCCAATTGGCCACCACACAGATTGGTTCGGCCTTTGAGCTATTCTAGTACAGTTTAGTAAGGATGAGGTCATGGACCATATTTTTGTTCTTGCGGACCACTGGTGGTCCATGGACCATGGGTTGGGAACGAGTTGGAGAATGTGTAATGGAAGGCATTCAACTTGTGTGTTTCCAGTTGGCTACCTTACAGACTAGTTCAGCTTTTGAAGCTGCAGACCTTATTTTCATTCCTGTGGACCACTGGTGGTCCACGGACCACAGGTTGGGAACAAGTTGGAGAATGTGCAGTGGGAGGCATTCAACTTGTGTGTTTCCGATTGGCCACCATACAGACTGGTTTGGCCTTTGATCGGTTCTAGCACAGTTTAATAATGGTGAGGTTGCGGACCATATTTTCGTTCTTGCGGACCACTGGTTGAGAATGAGCTGGAGAATTTGCAGTAGAAGACATTCAGCTTGTGTGTTTCCAATTGGCCACCATACAATAATAGTAATGGTGAGGCTATGGACGATATTTTCGTTCTTGTGGACCACTGGTGGTCCACAGACCATAGGTTGATAACAAGTTGGAGAACGTGCAGTGGAAGGCATTCAGCTTTTTTTCCCCGATTGGCCACCATACAGACTGGTTCTAGCATAGTTTAGTATTGGTGAGGCCATGGACCATATTTTCGTTCTTGTGGATCACTGGTGGTTCACGGACCACAGGCTGAGAACAAGTTGGAGAATGTGCAATGGAAGACATTCAACTTGTGTGTTTCCGATTGGCCACCATATAGACTGGTTCAACCTTTAATCTGTTCTAGCACAGTTTAGTAATGGTGAGGTCGCGGACCATATTTTCGTTCTTGCGGACCACTGGTGGTCCATGGACCCCAAGTTGAGAACAAGTTGGGGAATGTGCAATGGAAGGCATTCAACTTGTGTGTTTCCAATTGACCAGCATACAGTCTGGTTCGGCCTTTGACACTGCAGACCATTTTTTCGTTCTTGCGGACCACTGGTGGTCCACAGACCACAGGTTGGGAACAAGTTGGAGAATGTGCAGTGGAAGGCATTCAACTTGTGTGTTTCCGATTGGCCACCATACAGACTGGTTCGGCCTTTGTTCTAGCACCGTTTAGTAATGTTGAGGTTGCTGACCATATTTTCGTTCTTGCTGACCACTAGTGATCAACCGTCCCCAGGTTGAGAACGAGCTAGAGAATTGGCAATAGAAGACATTCAGCTTGTGTGTTTCCGATTGGCCACCATACGAACTGGTTCGGCCTTTTATCTGTTCTAGCACAGTTTCATAATGGTGAGGCCACAGAGCATATTTTCGTTCTTGCAGACCACTGGTGGCCCACGGACCACAGGTTGGGAACCACTCAACTCTTAGAATGTCACTCCTGGGTGCAAAAAAGGGCTTTTGGAAGCGTGGGGGAAAGCAAATTGGTTTCGTAAGTAGCAGATGTCAGACCATTCAGCCTCTTTGGCTAAAAGGAGTCACGAGTCAAATTTGAGAGTTCAATTATTGTTCTCTCAAAAAAAGGTACCGTAGTTTGGCAAAAAGGAGATACTCTGAGCACATTTGAGATTCTCTCTCTTCTCCCGGAAAGCATTCAGGCACCAAGTCATCCTTGGGAGCCTAAGAATCAACCGGCCAAGGCCTTGTTTGTGTGACTAGCCCCCTTTCCCCCAGAACAAAGCTTATTCTATTGTCGGGGTGGGATAAAAATAGCCGATACGGGCAGGAGCAACAAAAGAAAACAGTTTGAAAGAAGAGGCAAAGGAGGAGCGAGACCTTCCTCTTCTTCATAAAGAATTGATGTCAGAGAGGCAGCGAGGCACCCGAGGTAACCTGGGCAACAGGAAACAACACCGCGCAGACGCCCCCTCTACCTGGGTCTTGGCTTATGGATGTCAGGAGGCTTGGCAGGCGCCGCTGTTTGCTCAACCGGTGGTGTTCCCGGGGATAGCGAGGGCCAGACAAAGCCCGGCGATGATACATGACACACGGCTGCCCTGGAAACGGGCAAGCCTTCACCTGCCTGTTGCTGATACGGTTTCAGCACTGTTTGTTCTTCTTCTTGAGAAAAGTGCAGGGAAAGAATGGGATGGAAAAGTGGGGGGCTTTCTGTGGCGTTGCAGGTTGTGACATGGAGGGGGAATATTGTTGCCGCCCCCACCTTCTTCCGAACGGTGCGGGAGAAAGTCAGCGGTGTCTCGGTTCCTAAGACCAATCTCCGCAAAGTTTCCATATCAGAGTGGCCGAGCAGATCAGGTTTCAAGCGTAGCCAATGCCCCGCAGTCCCCAAAGCAAAGGGATTTACAAGCAAAGTTGCACCTGAGAGGAGGAATTGCACAAGATTAAAGAAATCTGGGCAAATTAATCAGGCCGTTTTCTGAACTGAACCCGTTAATTGGTTTATTACATTTACACAAAACTTCATCGAGGGAAATCAGTTGCTTCAGACCAAAAAAAAGCACATTTATTCCATACGGAGTTCCCTTTCTTTCCGCCGCTTTTGGATCTTCTCGTGGCGGCCATTGTTTGATCCCCCGTTGCTTTCCATTGATTTATTTATTATGCCACTTCTGGTTTGATGTATATGGATTTTTGGATTTTATTTGTGTTTTTACTGTAGGCTTTCCCTGAGAGCTATTTGCTGTGTGGCAACTAATAAATCTTATACATAAATATCGGGTAGCAAGCCCCCCGAGGGACTCTTCCTTCTTGCCTGAGAGAGAGGAGGAGAAACGGCTCTTCGAAGACGCACTTTTGGATAGTAAACTTGTACTTAAATACTTAGCAGCCAGAATCCTGTTGGGCCGTTAAGAATACAGTGATTCATGATAGTTTAAGGCCAAATGCCGCGTGACTCCTGTGAAAGTGTTGTTCGACCCCCAAAGGGGTCGCGACCTACAGGTTGAGATATTTACATGAATTGTCATGTAAATATCTAATATGCAGGATGTATTTTAATAATAATAATAATAATAATAATAATAATAATAATAATAATAATAATAATAATAATTTTATTTTTATACCCTGCCAGCCATCCCCGCAAGGGGTCTCGGGGTGGCTTATAAGGGACAAGCCTGAAAATTACAAATAGAACACAACAATTAAAACATCAGATAAAATATAGAAACAATCACAATCGTAGACAATATCAAACAATGGCTGAGAGAAAACATAGCTGAGGTTCAGGCTCCATGAGTGCAATACATCCTGAAGGAAGCGCAGGGAAAGTGCAGCAATCAAATAGACAGGGCTGGGAATTGTGTCATCTAAAGTGTTGAAGTGGACGATAAACTGCCCAAGCACACCGGAACATCCAGGCTTTTAGTTGTCTCTGAAAAGAGGACAAAGTAGGAGCCTGTTGGATCTCCCCAGGGAGGGTGTTCCAAAGCCGGGGGCCACCACCGAGAAGGCCCTCTCCCTTGTCTCCACCAACCGTGTTTGAGACAGCAGAGGGAGAGAGAGCAGCACCTCCCCGGACGATCTCAAGGTATGCACTGGTACATAGGGGAAAATGCAATCACGGAGATAAGCAGGTCCCGAACCGTTTAGGGCAGGAGTCCACAAACCTTTTACACAGAGGGCCAGGCCATAGTCCCTCAAACTGTTGGAGGGCCGGATTATAATTTGATAAAAAATATGAATGAATTCCTATGCACAGTGCATGTATCTTATTTGTAGTGCAAAAAAACACTTAAAAACAATACAATAATTAAAATGAAGAACAATTTTAACCAATATAAACTTATTAGTATTTCATTGGGAAGTGTGAGCCTGCTTTTGGCTGATGAGATAGGATTGTTGTTGTTGTTGTGTGCTTTCAAGTTGTTTCAGACTTAGGTTGACCCTGAGCGGAGTTGATGGAGGGGGACCATCGCTTCAGTGCTGGTGGTCTTTGCTTCTTCCAGCACGCTGGAAGAGATTTGCAGGATTTTCTGGAGGCAACATTGATGGAATCGTTCCAGAAGCTGCATGTGACGACTGTAGACAGTCCATATCTCGCAGGCATATAGCAGGGTTGGGAGGACAATAGCTTTATAAACAAGCCCCTTGGTCTCCCTACGGATGTCCCGGTCCTCAAGCACTCTCTGCTTCATTCAGAAAAATGCTGCACTCGCAGAGCTCAGGCGGTGTTGTATTTCAGTGTCAATGTTGACTTTGGTGGAGAGGTGGCTGCCAAGGGAGCAGAAATGGTCAACATTTTCTATCTCTGGCATTGGAGAGGGATTGGCTGTGACTTCTGGAAGAGCACTTTGATTTTCTCTATGTCTTAAAAAGCAAGCTTTCTTCCTGACCTCTTTACCACAAAGTAGAATCCGTTTCTGCCTTCCTTGTCCTCCCACACTCAGAAGCATTTAATGCATAGTACGTTGGGGGATGTGGAAGCAGAATGGGCCGTGGTCGCTCCCGCTTACCGTACCGAAACCAAACAGAACTGCATGTGTTGCTACGCCTCTGGCCTGAAGCACATCTGTTGCTAACTCGCCGCCATTGTTAGCGCATGAGGTTTGCATCTGTTTTGCATCCTTCCCTCCCAGGTTGCAAGTACAACCAAGTCAACAGCCATTTCCACTGCATCCGCGAGGGCTGCCAGTTCTCCTTCTTGCTGAAGCACCAGATGACGTCCCATGCCCGGAAACACATGCGGAGGATGCTGGGGAAGAACTTCGACCGGGTCCCCACTCAGGTGACTTCCTCTCACCCTTTCTTAGTGGCCATAGCCCTTGCCTGGGAGATACTGGGAATTGGAACCTGGGACCCTCTGCAGGGAAAGCAGAGGTTTTTCTATGAAGCCATAGTCCTTCTCTTACAGTAGTAGGCATCAACCTTGGGACCATGCTTACAACTGCAATTAACCATTATATGCATTGACCCGGGTATCTATGAATTGATATCCAGTAATAAGTAATAATTATCTATCTATATCTATTATCTATCTATATCTATATACCTAATATATGTGCATATGTGGCCGGGGGACCCACTTCCACAGACAGGCTCCCACTCCCACAAACATCTGCTGAGGAGCCACCCAAAGCCCTCCCTCCAATGACATTTCAGATTATAGCAAGCGCCATGAACATGTAGCTGAACCCCTGCCAATGTCCTCTCCAAACACCACCCTGCCCACCACCCAAGGAAGGCTTTCACTCGGGGACAATTTCATCCTAGATTTTAACTGTGTTTCCTCCACCACAGACATCCCAGTGATCCTTACTCTCTCCATTGGTGTGGAATTTGCATGACCCCGCCCGCTGCCTCTCCCTTAACCCTTCCCTACTCTTTTCAGCTCTGTCTGCACAACAAACAGAGCAGAACTGAGAAGCAGCTACACATACTGGAGGAGCTTGGGGGATTGATACCACACAATGGAAGTTGTAGTTCACCCTGTATCAAATCATCAAGTGACCCCCACTGACAATGGATCTGGGCCACATTTGGCACACAGAATCCCCATGATCAAATTAAAATACTGGAAAGGTCTGTGGGGAATTTGCCTTGATTTATAGCCATTGTATGTGCTGGGATGTATAGTTCACCCACAACCAGAGAAACTGTGATCTCCACCGATGATAGACCTGGACCAAACTTGGCACATAGAACCCCCATGAGGGTTTTGAGGGGACAGACTCACCATAGTGGGAGTTAGCCCAGGTCTAGTTGAAGGATGTAAGGAGAAACTATCCCAGAAAAAGTGGTTTCATAAGGCTGATGCCCTAAAAATGACAGAAAGGTTTCTTTTCAGATCATACAAACCTTTCGTCTTTTATCACAGTGGGAGTTGTAGTTTACCCTACAGCCAGAGAGCACACCCAGGATGAACCCCACCCAGGATACATCTTGTCCAGCATAACAAGCAAGAAAGATGCATACAACCAGGTCACTAAAATTCCCAACCTCTCCTGGTCTCAGTTCCCTCCTGTAAAATATGCCAGTGAAACTTAGTCCTAACACGGCATTCCTCTGTGACAACTGTACAGAATCACTTGTGTTATGCTGGACAATGTGATGCAAGAACGGACCTCACGTGTGCAGAACCACAAGGCCAAACGAGAGGTGTTGTTGCTTGGGACCGAGTAACACAGGGGTCCTCAAACTACGGCCCGCGGGCCGAATGTGGCCCTCCAAAGTCATTTACCTGGCCCTCGCTCAGGGTCAACCTAAGTCTGAAACGACTTGAAAGCACACAACAACAACAATCCTATCAACCAAAAGCAGGCCCACACTTCCCAATGAATTACTAACTTTATATTTGTTAAAATTGTTCTTCGTTTTAATTATTGTATTATTCTAAAGTGTTTTTTGCACTACAAATAAGATATGTGCACTGTGCATAGGAATTCATTCATTCGTTGTTGTTTTTCCAAATTATGATCCGGCCCTCCAACAGTTTGAGGAACTATGACTTGGCCCTCTGTTTAAAAAGTTTATGGACCCCTGGAGTAGCAACGTCCCTCCCTGACGTAAACATCCCACACGTACAATAGGTGGACAATTGGATCCCACAACTTCTTGTTCAACTTTCAGGTTATTGGGCACGCTTCTAGGACTGAGAACCTTCAGCAGGTCGGCAGCATGGCGCCCAGCCCCGCATCTTCAGGGACCCCGGCTTCCTTTCAGGGACCCCAAAGTATGATGGATACGGAGACGGATGAGTACATTGACTACACAGGCTGCAGCCCTGGTGGCATCTCCTCAGAGTCCTCCAACATGGATCGCAGCTGCTCCAGCACGCCGGTGGGCAACGAAAGCACGTCGGCAGGTAAGAGGCACCACGAATGAGCCATTGATTAGTGGCACTTCTGCTTCTGAGAGGCCTCATGTCACACTCCTGGGCCAGGTTGTCCCATGTGAGATCTCTTGTTGTTCACCCAGGGATGTCTTGATGCCTCCTTTTACTACGAGTTCTGTCCTGATTCAGAAAGAGACTTCCCATCCATACCACACCTAGAAGAAGAGATAGACCAGGTGGCCTTCAGAGGACTTTCTTGATCACCATCCCTACTCAGTGTAGAACAGTGGTTCCCAACCTTTTTTTGACCAGGGAGCACTTTGATTTGTTGTTGTTGTTGTTGTTTGCAGGGTTCAAGAATGAGAAACTGTGTTAATCTAAAAATCATCAAAAGTTTTAACGTATTTGTTAAACTCAACCATAACATGAACTAGGAGTACTATTATAATATTAAAAATAATGTTTTAAAGAGAAGGTAAAATTTGGTTGCCTGCATTTATGTGATTTTGGAGCTTGCATCGTTCTTTACAAGTTGGGTAATCCTGGGGCTAATATTATTGCTCAAGGAAGCAGGAAGGAGGGAGGAAGGAAGGAAGAAAAGAAGGAAGGAGGTTAGGCAAGGAAGAAAGGGAGGAAGGGATGGGAGTCAGGGAGGAAGAAAGGGGGAGAGAGAGGAAGGGAAGGAAGGAAAGAAGGAAGGAAGGAAGGAAGCAAGGAAGGAGGGAGAGAAGGAAGGGAGCAAGGAAGGAGGGAGAGAGGAAGAAAGGGATGGAGGGATGGGGCAGGGAGGGAGGGAGGAAGGGAGCAAGGAAGGAAGGAGGAGAGAAGGAAGAAAGGGATGGAGGAATGGGGCAGGAAATGAAGAAAAGAAGGAAGGGAGCAAGGAAGGAGAAGGAAGGAAAGAAGGGAGCAACGAAGGAAGGAGGGAGAGAAGGAAGAAAAGGGAAGTGGAAAGCAAGGAAGAAAAAAGGAAGGGATGGGACTGAGGGAGGGAGGAAGGGAGAGCAGAAGGGAAGGAAGGAAAGAGAAAAGGAAGGGAGCAAGGAAGAAAAAGAGGGAGAAGAAAAAAAGGGGAGAAGCAAGGAAGAAAGGAAGGGATGGGACTGAGGGAGGGAAGGAGGGAGGGAGAGGGAAAGGAAGGAAGGGAGCAAGGAAAGGAGGAGGGAAGCCAGGAAGAAAGGGAGGGATGGGACAGAGGGAGGGAGAGAGAGAGGAGGGAAAGAAGGAAGGAATCAAGGAAGGAAGAAGGAAGTGAACGACTGAGGGAACCAAGGAAGAAAGGGAGACAGAGAGGAAAGAAGGAAGGAAGGAAGGAAGGAAGGAAGGAAGGAAGGAAGGAAGGAAGGAAGGAAGGAAGSAAGSAAGGAAGSAAGSAAGGAAGGAAGCAAGGAAGGAAGCACTAGTGTTCCACAGACCACAGGTTGGGAACCGTTTTAGTTCTTGTGGACCACTAGTGTTCCACGGACCACAGGTTGGGAACCACTGGTTTAGAAGGAGGGAAGCAAGGAGGGAGGCAAGTAAGAAAGGGAGGAAGAGATGGGAAAGTATAGATTTCTGTATAGATTTCAGATTTCAATATTAATGTCCGAAATATTGTTCTACTGTGAAAGAACCTTAACATGTTTCACCGCCCTGAGGAAACTCAGTTCCGGCTTAAGGTGCGCGGAAGAGCCGAGCAGTTCCACCGAGTAGCATCAGCTTACCCTTGGGGGTACCAACCTAATAAATAGACAAAATGCACCTCCATCTTGGGGTGTTCCCCATATTTCAAAGTCCACCCTGTCGCCCAATGACGAGGCCTCTGCCTCCGCTTCTCGCCCTCCCTTTGGTGGCCTTCACTCCTCCGGCGCCGCTCTTCATCACGCACCCTCCATCTCCTTCTCTGTTGCGATTCCGTTCTTGTACGTGTGGATGTGCTCTCCATTTTCATTGTATCGCTTACACTCTTGGGTTCTCATTTTGGTTCTTTTTTTCCCCTTTTGTTTTCCTCCTTTTTTTCCTCCTTTCCTGCTATTTTTTGTTTTCTTTCCACATTTCTCCAGGCTGCCTGGCTGCTCCTCCTCCTCTTCCTCCTTCCGCCGCTGCCGCTGGGGATGACGTTGCCCACAATGCGCCACCACAGCCACCACCTCTGCCTCCATCTTTCTCTCAGGCCCTGCTCAGGGCCCCCCTCCCTTCCCTCCCCTACCTCTTCTCTCCATCTTGTGTCTCATACTCTCTGCTAAGTGCCACGCTGGGATCCAGCCGGGGCATTGTCTTGCCCACGGCCAGCTCAACCGGGTTCTCACCCGTCATTGCCACTCCAACTCCGGTCAAAAGCGACGTCCCTCTAGTTCAGGATGCGGCAGGTAAATGGCTCGACAATTCCTCCCGCGGTGGGTTACCCCTCAGGTTTATCCATTCTTACCCTCCCACTACAATCCCAGATACAACAAAAACGAGGCAGAATGCCTTTGTGGTTTTCTAAGGGAATTCCAGACAAGAAACAATCAGGGCCAACTAATCACCTCCCAACAAAGGACTCCCGCAGGCAGTAAGAAGCCGCACCTTGAAAACTGCTACGCTATTACATGCTAATCAAGGTGGCCAATTGAACATTCACACCTACCTCCAGCAGACAAGAGTTCTTTCTCCCACCCTGGACATTCCAATAGACCCCACAACCTCTGAGGATGCTGGTCATAGATGCAGGCGAAATGTCAGGAGAGAATGCTTCTGGAACATGACCATGCAGCCCAGAAAACACACAACAACCCTTTGTTGTTTGTCATAATAGGGTCAGGAATGGCACTTTTCCTGTGATATTTTTAAAATTGAGGGTTAGAGAAGTCCCTAGACAACTTGGGAGACCGTTGATKGCGCAGCAAGGTAAGCCACGGATATGGAGCGAGCTCCCAGTATACAGACAGGGCAAAACGAGCCGCAGTGACGCAGCGAGTTTACTGAGCTGCAGAACTTGTTGACTGAAACGTCAGCGGTTTGAATCCACRGATACAGGGTGAGCTCCCGCTGTACACCCAAGGCAAAATGKGCTGCAGTGATGCAGCAAGTTAAATCGCTAAGCTGCAGAATTTGTTGACTGGAAGGTTGGCGGATACGGGGTGAGCTCCTGCAGTACACCCAGGGCAAAACAAGCCACAGTGACGCAGTGAGTTAAACTACTAAGCTGCAGAACTTGTTGACTGAAAGGTCGACGGTTCAAATCTATGGATACGGGGTGAGCTCCTGCTGTACACACAAGGCCAAATGGGTTGTGGTGATGCAGTGGGTTAAACCTCTAAGCTGCAAAACTTTTTGACTAGGTTGGCAGTTCAAATCCATGGGACGGGATGAGCTCCCACTGTACAGTCATGGCAAAATGGGCCACAGTGATGCAGCAAGTTAAACCGCTAAACTGCAGAACTTGTTGATTGGAAAGTTGGCAGTTCGAATCCGCGGATACAGGGTGAGCTCCCACTGTACACACAGGGCAAAACAGGCCATGGTGACACAGCGAGTTAAACTGCTAAGCTGCAGAACTTGTTCACTGGAAGGTCAGCGGTTCGAATCCGCAGGATGTGGTGAGCTCCCACTGTATACTCAGAGCAAAATGGGTTGTGGTGACTCAGCGAGTTAAACCACCAAGCTGCAGAACTTGTTGACTAGAAGGTCAGTGGTTTGAATCTGCAGGGCAGGATGAGCTCCTGCTGTTAGCCCCAGCTTCTGCCAACCTAGCAGATTGAAAAACATGTAAATGTGAGTAGATCAATAGGTATTGGTTTAGCACATGCCAGCTGGAGCTGACAGACGGGAGCTCACCCCACTCCCCGGCTTTGAACCTCCAACCTGTCAGTCAGCAGTCCTACTGGCACAAGGGTTTAATCTATTGTGACACTAGGGGCTCCAGTACTGAGGTTGAAACACATGAGGTAGAAAGATTTTGCCTGAATTCGTGCAAAAAAATTGCCAAGGAACCCAATGGAATCAGATTCTAAACCTTTGTCTCGGCTTTTCTCCCTCCCAGGGAACACCATCACGATGCCGACAGCCGCAGGGGCGAAGAAGCGCTTCTGGATCATCGAGGACATGTCCCCCTTCGGCAAGCGGCGCAAGACGGCCTCCTCCCGCAAGATGCTGGACGAAGGGATGATGCTGGAGGGCTTCCGGCGGTACGACCTCTATGAGGACTGCAAGGACGCCAGCTGCCAGTTCTCCCTGAAGGTTACCCACTACCACTGCACCCGGGAGAACTGTGGCTACAAGTTCTGCGGCCGCACCCACATGTACAAGCACGCCCAGCACCACGACCGGGTGGACAATCTGGTCCTGGACGACTTCAAGCGCTTCAAGTCCTCCCTCAGCTGCAACTTCCCCGACTGCCAGTTCTCGGGCAACAGCACCCACTTCCACTGCCTGCGCTGCGGTTTCCGCTGCACCGACAGCACCAAGGTGACGGCCCACCGCAAGCACCACGGCAAGCAGGATGTCATCAGCGCGGCCGGCTTCTGTCAGTTCAGCTCCAGCGTGGACTGCGAGGTGCCGGACTGCAAGTACAAGCTCAAGTGCTCCCACTTCCACTGCACCTACCCGGGCTGCAAGCACACGGTGGTGGGCATGTCCCAGATGGACTCGCACAAGCGCAAACACGAGAAGCAGGAGCGCGGAGAGCTGCCGGCCATCTCTCCGGGCCCCGAGGGACTCCCCCACTCCGCCCTGGAGTACGAGGCGGCACAGGCTCCTTCCGTCAACCTGGACAGCTCTCTGAACCTCAGCACCGACGCAAACAGCTCCCTCTTCTTCCTGCAGAACGCGGCCGGGGTGGGACTCAACGACTCCTTGGACCTCAGCCAGAAGCAGCCGGAGGCCGAGGGGAGCGCCGCGTCCCCCAACACCGGAGAAGGTGCAGCCCCTTCAGAGACAGAGCAGCTACCAACTGGTTGCGGCAACATAGAGGACGAGGACGATTCCTCTCACGACGAGGATGATGAAGAGGAGGAAATGAACGAAGAAGATGAGGAAGACGACGACGACGATGAGGAGGACGAGGATGAGGAAGAGGAGGATCTGAATACAGATTCCGACGACTCGCTTCCCGACACAGAAGGCCTGCCTACGAAAGACATTCGGGAACTGGGGGAGGCGGCTCCCCTTCCGGCAGACCACTGCGATGCTTCCAGGCCGCCCGGCGAGCAAGTCCCCGGCTCTGCTCCAGAGGAGGCCTCCCCTTAATAGACAGCAGCAGGGTTTTGGTGTTTTTTAAATAATAATAATAATAACAATAACAACAAAAACTGATTTACTGAAAGGACTCCTATTACAGGAGGCGAGAACAAATGCTAGGACGGCAAGCGGCGAAACAAAAACCTGTCCAACTCCAGCCCAGAAAGTGCACAAGAGAAGAGAGGAACGACGTGAATCCTTGGACCGTGCGCGTAGGAAAAGAGAGAGAGAGGTCCCGGTGCCGCGGATATAGGGGGAGCAAGGCAGAGGGACCCATCTGTTGGGACGCACATGTTTACAGGGTGGCAGACCGCGAAATGTTGTATATGATGCAGATGGGCCAGGCCGTGGAGGAGCGACCCCTCTTCTCATGGCTGGATGTGCTAAGGGCAAGTGTTCCCCCCTCTGCCTCCCCAGACCTCTTCGTGAGGGGAGGGCGAGCTGTGGCTTCCACCCTTTCTATTTTATTTGATTGTTTTGTCCTTTTCACACTCCTCCCATTCTCAGGGAGAGGGGCAGCTAGGACCCAATGGTGGATTATTAGGAATGATGGTAATGAAGTGCATATATAGATAGGTGTGTGCACAAATAAGGGTTCGATCCATTCGACACACAAGCTATGCCATCTGTGGGAAACGGGGTGGGAGTGGGGTGCCAGTATCATTTATACAGTAGAGTCTCACTTATCCGACATAAACGGGCTAGCAGAACATCGGATAAATGAAAATGTCGGATAATACGGAGTCTCCTACATGGTGCTAGACACCTAGAATACTAACAACAGGGACTCAAAGAGTTAAGGCAAGGCAACACTCCGGGGCTAGAAAGGCCCGGATGGAAGAGCAGCATGGAAATCACCGAGAGAAAGAGGGAGGATGCTTCTAGGCATCCTCCCTCTAGGCAGACTTAATTCCGACCTGGAGGTATTTCTAACCAGGTTTTGGGTTCCAGGTACAGTAGAGTCTCGCTTATCCAACATAAATGGGCCTGCATGAAAATGTCGGAAAATATGGAGTCTCCTACTTTTACCCATCCAACACGGTGCTAGACCACTAGAATACTAACAACAGGGACTCAAAGAGTTAAGGCAAGGCAATGCCCCGGGGCCAGAGAGGCCCAGTTAGATGCCGAGAATACTAACAATATTGACTCAAAGAGTTAAGGCAAGGCAATGCCCCAGGGCTAGAGAGGCCCGGATGGAAAAGCATGGAAATCACAGAGGGAAAGAGGGAGGATGCTTCCGCTTCCTCTTCCGATCCTGCCTCTTTTCCCCCTTTCCTCCCTTCTCCTCCTTGTCTTGCCTTTTTCATTATTGGGAATGGAGAGAGAGTTGGGGAGCGTGCTCCTTTAATTGAAGGGGAGATGCTGGGAACGTCGGATAAGCGAAGGTCGGATAAGCGAGACTCTACTGTACTTCTAATTTTGTGTTTTTCCTTTCTCCGTGATCGAATGAACAGGAGGAATGGGGGGTCTCAGGCAGCTTGGGATGGTTGGGGAAGGGGTATTTATTGTCAGTTTTTAAGGGTTTGTTTGGTTCTAATTTTATTTTTTTGTAAACATAAACAGAAGCATTAATGAATCGAAGAGGGCTAGGAAGGGAGACAGTTTCCCCCTCCCCCTTATCTTCCGGGTCCTTTTTGTTCGTAAATAATAATTATCATCCTCTTTTGAAAAAAAACAAAGAACTTATTTATATTGCAGTGAGTGGGGCAGTCCCTTTTGCGGTGGCAACGGTGGCGGCAAGTGTGCACGGGGTGGCAGGGGAACGACCCCTTGGTTTTGACCTAGCCCAGGGCTTCTTAAACATTTCCACTCAGGACCGTTCTTGGTCCGAGAAATATTCTCACGACCCCAGGTGTATAGGTATATAAAAGAGACATAAAATCCAAACATATACTGATAAGAAATCAGCTGGCTCTACAGCAGTGGTTCCCAGCCTGTGGCCCGTGGATCACCAGTGGTCTGCAAGAACAAAAATCTGATCCATGGCCTCATCATTACTACACCGTTGCCTCAAAACCACGCAGTGAGAGCAACTGGTCTCACGAAACGCACGTATAGTGCTGAGGCAACGGGAATGTTGGGAGGGAAGGGGATGACTACCCACACAAGATTACTACTACCACACCAGCTCTATTGAATATGGTTTTCTGTGGGCGAGCAGATGCTGACTACTGGATGGCATATGTTCTGTATCAGAAACTAGAGCTGATGTGGTCTATCCAATGCAATTTTCTGAATCAGCACCCCAAATAACCAAACTGAAAGAGTACTACTACCACATCAGCTCTAGATTATTGAATATGGTTTTCTGTGGGCGAGCAGATGCCGACTACTGGATGGCATATGTTCTGTATCAGAAACTATAGCTGATGTGGTCTAGCCAACGCAATGTTCTGAATCAGCACCCTAAATAATGAAACTGAAATAGTATTACTGCCACCACATCAGCTCTAGATTATTGAATATGTTTTTCTGTGGGTGAGCAGATGCTGACTACTGGATGGCATATGTTCTGTATCAGAAACTAGAGCTGATGCAGTCTATCTAATGCAGTTTTATGAATCAGCACCCCAAATAACGAAACAGAAAGATTACTACTACCACATCAGCTCTAGATTATTGAATATGGTTTACTGTAGGCTAGCAGATGGCCCCTACGGGATGGCATATGTTCTGTATCAGAAACTAGAGCTCATGTGGTCTACCCAGTGCAATTTTCTGAATCCGCACCCCAAAGAACCAAATCGAACCTGAAGTTGACTAAAACCCTTTTGGTACTAATGTTGGAGAATGGTCCCTGGTCAAAGTTGCCCCTGATCATAAAAAAAAAATGTTGGGAACCACTGTTCTACAGTCTGATTTTCCGTTTTCGGAAGTACACCATGCCACAGATTCGTGTCAATGCCTAAAACAGCCACTAGGTGGCATTCAGGAAATGCATCAGAACCCCAACGTTGAGCATAGAGGGGGGAACATGTGTGGTCAGGACCCACATTTAAGAAGCCCTGATCTAGCCCACGCCCGGACCCCCAAAGCCCTGTTGTTTGCTTTCCAGGCTACAGAGCCATCCCTGATGGAGGAGAAAGACACACAAAGGCTCAGGTCGGCCTCCGCCTCTTGCTGCTAATGAAAGGGGAGGATAACCAGAGGCAGTACCTCATAGTAAGAGAGAGTAGCACTTGGTCCTGGCAGTGGTTTGGCAAGGGACAGCGAGGAAGCGGTAGTATCCTTCAGCACCATTCTCTTCCGAAACTTCCACCCTGACTGTTGTACCCCACTTTAGGAAATCCAGATCTCAGGAAGGCTGGCATTGGGGGGGGGGGGGCGGGGCATGCGTAAAGTGATGGCTCTTTTAGAGGTTGGAAAGGAGCACAATCAGATCTACTTCCATTGGATAGTCTAAGGCAGGCCCTCCGACTCCCAGAAGCCCTCGCCAGCTTCTCAAATGATCAGGAATCTGAAGTCCAAACACTGGTCTAAGGTCTCTTTGCCAGGACATTTGTGGGAGGCAAGAGGCAAGATCCATTAGGCTGCCCTCAATAAAAGTGGCAACGCAACAACTTTGCCATGGTTTGGTGGCCTGGAACTCAACATAGGTTCAGGTATATCCTCCATTGAGGATGTACTAGGGACCTGGTAGATGCTCAGTGGAGAAAACACAATAGTGTTTGGCTTGTTGAACGTCCACAGATCCGTTGCTTCCAGAATCTTGAGGTCTCACATCTTGTATTGTAAGAGAAGGGACCCAAACCAATATTTGGGTGGCACCAGGACCCTCTAATGCAGTAGTTCTCAACCTATGGGTCCCCAGTTGTTTTGGCCCAACTCTCAGAAATCCCAGCCAGTTTACCGCTGTTGGAATTTCCAGGAGTTGAAGGCCCAAACATCAGGGGAACCACAGGTTGAGAACCACTGATCTAGATGGTCCTTGAGGGCCTCCTAAGGTCACTATATAGATCTAGATGGTCCTTGAGAGCCTCCTAAGGTCACTATATAGATCTAGATGGTCCTTGAGGGCCTCCTAAGGTCACTATATAGATCTAGATGGTCCTTGAGAGCCTCCTAAGGTCACTATATCGATCTAGATGGTCCTTGAGRGCCTCCTAAGGTCACTATATATATCTAGATGGTCCTTGAGAGCTTCCTAAGGTCACTATATAGATCTAGATGGTCCTTGAGAGCCTCCTAAGGTCACTATATAGATCTAGATAGTCCTTGAGGGCCTCCTAAAGTCATTATATAGATCTAGATGGTCCTTGAGGGCCTYCTAAGGTCACTATATAGATCTAGATGGTCCTTGAGAGCCTCCTAAGGTCACTATATCGATCTAGATGGTCCTTGAGGGCCTCCTAAGSTCACTATATATATCTAGATGGTCCTTGAGAGCTTCCTAAGGTCACTATATAGATCTARATGGTCCTTGAGAGCCTCCTAAGGTCACTATATAGATCTAGATAGTCCTTGAGGGCCTCCTAAAGTCATTATATAGATCTAGATAGTCCTTGAGGGCCTCCTAAAGTCATTATATAGATCTAGATGGTCCTTGAGGGCCTCCTAAGGTCACTATATAGATCTAGAACAGTGGTTCTCAACCTGGGGTCCCCAGATGTTTTTGGCCTTCAACTCCCAGAAATCCTAACAGCTGGTAAACTGGCTGGGAGTTGTAGGCCAAAAACATCTGGTGACCCCAGGTTGAGAACCACTGGTCTAAATGGTCCCTGAGGGCCTCCTAAGGTCACTATATAGATCTAGATCAGTGGTTCTCAACCTGTGGGTCCCCAGGTGTTTTGGCTTACAACTCCCAGAAATCCCAACCAGTTTACCAGCTGTTGGTATTTCTGGGAGTTGAAGGCCAAAGCATCAGGGGAACCACAGGTTGAGAACCACTGCTCTAACGCAACTGTCACAGCAAGATATAGAAGCTCTTAACTAGATCTTTCGGGGGTCAGTGGCTGCTAAAGGACACGAAGGAAAGGGACTGAAAACAGACACACCGCATTTCTTCAATTGCTAAGACACCCTCGATTGTAAGGCGCACCCTAATGTCAGTACCGCCGCCACCAACAAA